AGTTTTCCATGCTGCCATGCTACAAATTGTCTGTAAGCTGCATGGCGGAACTGTCTGTCGTCCTCACCGGGGTCCGGGTCATCATAAACTGCTCGAAACTCATTCCACAATGTTCTGGCCAGGCGAAGAACACCATTTTGCAGAATAAACTCCTCCATGTGCGGGACAGTTGAATAAACATGTCTGGGGAGGCTGTTGGCAGCTTTTCTTTTCCAAATCAGTTGGCATATCTCTGCAGTGGGAGCATACACACCATGAAGGTTGATTGGATGTTGGAGGTGTTGTGGCGGGTGGACCAGAGAGGGCAAGCACATCAAAGAGAACACCAGGGTCTCTGTCCAGCACCATGGTAAGGACGTCAATAGCCTGCTGAGGGTTCAGGTTCTGTATGTGTTGCTACAAAAGTGGAAAGAGATGCTACAGCAACAGATTTTAGGATCATTTAGTGTAATTTTGTTATGCTTACACGTTCAAAGTCTATTCGCTCTCAAGAGAGAGATCTTCATCTCCAAGGTCCACAGCTGAGTGTCTCGCACTTCGGCCTCTGGATGCACCACGGCTTTGAGATGATGGTGGGCATCTCCTTTTTGCACCACGTCTTGAGGATGCAATGGGAGGTTCAAACTCTTCCTCAGAGGATTCCTCAATCACTGAACTCTAATTTGTATTAGAATAAAAAAAATTATACTATTATAAAAAGTACTCTTGCATATTAATCAATTTTGACACAGATCAGGTTTGCATCTAGTCAAAATTTGGGCTAAACCAACAATAACCAGAAACCCTATGAAAACAACCATGATTATAGGAGGACTACACAGAATGCAGTGTTTATTCATGATTTCCACATAAATTATACGCTTTGATATATTCATCCCATCTTGAATGGCAAAGCAATTAAAAATAAGCTAATTACTCGTAACAAAATGCTAACAATCTGATAGGATTCATTTTATTTACAATATAGATTGTCAACTGTTACTGGTATTTTAAAATATATTTATAGATATTCTTTATAAAATGCCTTTTGTAAACAGTAAGTGTTTAATGTGCTGGTTAAAAACAACTTTCTTACCTCAGATAACTCCATTGCTAACACTAGCTCAGCTCTATTATGAAGAAGCAATGCTCTGGTGTTGACTCGGCTTTTCCTGCGCGTGCACATTGGGAGGTGTGGCTTTCGGCTCTTTCAGGAAGGGCGGGGGAGTGAGCAACAGCCGTTCGAATTTAAAAATCTCCTCACCCTGACGGTGTCATCTTACGGACTGTGCCTTTAAATGCAGAATAAACACCGCACTTGTATGATGTATAGATCGTTTATTTTAATTTTCCAGATTTTTTTGTGATTCCTATCTTCTCTCTCTTCCTGTCAGACTGCTGCGGTGGCGCCCCGGCGCCCCCTAGATGTACGAGCCGCCACTGGCTTTGTGCTCTTCATTTCTGTAGAAACTATTTCTCCAAACTGAGACTGTTCAGAAAGTTACTGAACTTTTAAAACTTTGACACAAATCACCATCCAAAATAACCAAAGCATCATTTCAAAGTGGTGTCAGTTTAAGAAGTTTTCTGGAGACGTGTCCATCACATAAAATTAGTCGACTCAAGCGGGACTTGTTGTAGATGAAAAAGGAACAACGCATTTACACAAGGCCAAAGAAGCTGAAAATGGATCTGAGAGAAAAATTAAAATCAAATTAGGAATAATCTGACATTCGAGAGAGGCAAAGCATAATCATAATTTGCTTGTTTAAAGTGCTGTTGTGCTCCAGTCAACACACAAATACAAATCAAGCCACACAACTGATGTTGAATGTAGAAAAACACTAAGGGACCAAGTTAAAAGTCAGGACTAAATTCTAATGTAAATTCATATGGACCATGCTGGCAGGGAGAGAGAGATGTAATCATCCGTTTCTGATTCAGAAGACTGTTGTGTTTAAAGAGGATGACAACCTCTTTTCTTATTGTCTCTGTAATTCACCAAAAATTGCCACTTACAGTCGCTAAGAGCTGGACGTTTCATCTCCAAGCTTCCTCTGGTCTTTGCTACTCATCCCATTTCTACTCCCTCCAAAAGTGCCACCACTTCATTAACCTTGCCAGGCGTGAGATAAGAGAGGCAGTGCATCAAAGCAGCCTGCCCACAGAGAGAACAGAGCCCCGTGTGTCTCCACTACACGGCAGCCATCATCTTGCTGCCCGTCCGGCACGCAGAAAAGCCTTTTGTGCTCCAAACTGTCATTCACGAGTGTTATTTGAGTGTGTGTGCGTGCACAAACACAACATTGTGTTTTAAATTCAAGTAAGATTGTGACTTTTTGGGAGTTTTAAGTACAATTTTGAGGGAAATGATCTTATTTTTATACAAAGTGTTTCACAAAAGTTCCCACTGACATATAAAAATTTGAAAATGAAACAAGAATCCCATCAAAGCCCACCAAACTCCTGCTCCACGAGTAACAGCTTCTGACTTCCTCAAAGGAAATGTATTAACTGAGTCACAATATTGTTTTACTTGCGCCACATACGAATCTTCTCGGTGCATTTAATCCTTCTACCCACAGTTTCTCAGAAAGGAGGATATAAATTATTTTCCTTTGGTGGAAACAGCAAATCCCTGTCTGGATTCTGTTAAAAGGCTTAAAATGTCACTAAATGCCAAGGCTCAGACTCCTGCTAACAGCAGGTCTTAAAGACAAGACGTTAAAGCGTTGAAAGTTACCTGAAATTGACGAGGTTAATATTCTTATCACCAGAAAAAAGCTTCTGAGAGCGCGGAGGTTGAATACAGCCAGGTAACCCTTTAAATTAGAGGCTATCACGAGGATTAGGAGTATAAACACCAATTACACATTTCGTTGTTTATTCTTTTTTAGAAAACATGCTACAGCGCATAAATTAACAGGATTGGGATGCTGAGCTGGGTGTTTTTGCTGCACATCACAAGGAGGCACTTCTGCAATGAAGACAAGAAAATATCCCCCAAAATAAGAAGCGGAAATGCTATAATGCACGGTTGTAGATGAGACGTTTACCACGAATAGCCTTCCCTCTATCCCTTCAGAGTCCAATGAAATTCCAAATCACATTACACAAGCATGGACAAGTCTGTCGCTGGCATCTGAAATAGAGGACAAAGGGCCAGCGTGCAAATAGGGGGGTTTAGCCACCATCCTCCGAGTTCCCTGCCAACGTGAATCAGAGGTAAAATACGGTGCATTAAGTCGAGCTCTGAGGCAGCACAGAGGAGAGTAGAGTGAGACATGCCTCTATCTGTTGACTTACGTTATGTATATATTGTGTTTTGAAGGAATTTTACTGATCCACAAAACCAGCGGGGAAGGATAAGAGCGAGTCCCTGAGACCAAGTGGTAAGCAACTGCAGAGCAGAGAGTCTCTGGCAAGTTGAAAGTTGCTGTGCGGTTAAGGAGAAAGTCTGGCAGAATCCTGCACGCCCGCTGATAACATGGTTGGATTAAGGATGTTTAAGGGAAGTGAAAATTATTCATTTGAGATGGATGAAAGCTGCACTTGTCAAGTCTACCAGTCATGGACTTTATACGTTTCATTTCCACTCGCCGGCATGCATAATTTCCCCTCAATGCAAATTTCAACACACTGAACATTGTGAGCGTATTTACGGCGCTCCCCTAACACATTCTGTGACTCCGTAAATGGATAATCTCCACTGAACAGGGAACAAAACAATGCAATTTTGTTTGCAGAGGTGTGAGAATCTAATTTTTTGTAGGAAGAAGAGTGGGGGGGAATGTAAACAATGGCTCTTGTTTGAGAAGATTGTCTTTTCATGCTTGCTCATCTCAATGACACCAATAAATAATAATGATAACAAATCCACACCCATCAGTACGGAGCACAATTACAGGTTTCTAGTCCAGGTCTTGGCCCGTGTGTTAGTTTAGGGTCCTGGTAACTGACTGGTGTGTGCAGCATCTCCCGCCCTCCTCCCTCTCTACAAATATTATGATCTGTCTGATGAGAATAAAATCTCCAGCCTGAATGGCCAATAAATTAGAAGCACGCTTCTCGTTTACTCATCAGAGCTAATGAGGCTGATAAAATTACCTCGAGGATCATAATTACAGGCTAGTGGCAGAGGCTGGAATGGGAGGAAACACACACACACACACACACACACACACACACACACACACATACACACAGTTTAGGGGCAAGAGGCAGCGCACCACTGCTAAATAATCAAAGCACTCATGCCTTGTCTGCCTTTACACCGATCATGAAGACAAATCATAGATGCAGACGTCAGATTTGAAGAAAATGCTTTGAGGACGAGGAGCCGTCCTGTAAAAGGTGTCAGAGCAGCTCAAACTGATTTTTACCACCCTTTCATAAAGATTAAGCACTTCATGGGTAATGGCATATTTTAATGAACGATGGCAGCCTGGACACAAGAGCTCCCCTCTGAGGATTCCATTTCATCACACATTCACAGGATGAATTGTTTTACTTATGAATATTAATGTACCTCTAATTTGGGGCTGTTGTTAATGCTTGTCGCTAGGAGCTTGGCAAATCAGGTCCCAGTCCTGTTAAAACCCGTGTATTAGACACCCCCCCGACACTAAGCCCTCGCCTTTGATTCTTAATTGCAGAAGTGCAAGCATTTGCAGTAGATGGGGCGCAAAGCTTTAATTAACTCTAATATCACACATTCAGTCTCGACTGTCACCCACATCACGCGTGGCATTTTGTACCAAAAAGCATCCCCGAGTCTGCTTGACTAGAAAGATTTCAGTTCCAAGTTCACAATCACGATTTCATGCATCTCAACGTGAGGGATGTGTCGTTTAGAAGACGTATCGATGCCAGAGAATTCCTCACACAGTCTTTAAATGCTTAATTAAAAGCATTAGCGGTGCTCAGAGCTAAACTTTAATGCAAGAGTTTCCTTTTAGGTTTGGTTTCAAAGGAAATCACTGAATCTGCAGTTTGAAGCTTCTAATATGGAAATAAACAGATTGCAAAATGGATTTTTTATTGAATAAATTGAACATTCATACATAATTATCTTAAGAGTTGAACAATTTAAAGTTTTATAGAAAATGAGCACATAACCTTCAATAAAACTTCTAAATAACAAAAACACAAACAGAACAGGGACTTTTTAATAGACAAGTGACTCCACATGTTGGAGCATTTTAATAACTCAGGTGCGGCGCCCTTCTGATGCACATATTTGTAAAGAGTAATGTTAATTAAACCAGGTTTGAAGATAAAATGCTTCATACAACCTATAGTTTGTAAGCTTTCCTCAGCTATAAGCTCCAGCTCCAACTAATCCTCTTTCACACAACATTATTGCATCAGCACAGCTGAACATTTTTTGCAGCATTTATAAAATTAGCAAAGAAATTAACTGTCTGCATTGTGGCAAGTTGGATTTCCAAGTGCCTGCCTTGTGAGATAGAGCATACCCAGGCTGCCACCTACAGTACAGGGAGGGAGAGGAGCAAGAGCTCCGTGTTCCACAGCACCGCCGCTCAGACCTCACCGCAAACCCTAAAATCTATTTAAAATAAATACAAAAATATATGTATGACCAAACACCCCTCATTTCCCATTTCACTGCATGACATCAGTGTTGGTTTGCGTTTCACATCAATGGAACCAATTTATTTTGTTGCTAAAAAGTGCAATAGTTTCATAAACATGCCTTTACACTACAGGTCTGCACTACAGGTCTGCACTATAGGTCTGCACAAGTGTCTCCTTGAGCATCGGTGGTTTTATGGCTAAGTGGTGTGACTGTTTACAACATTAAAATGACTCAGCAGTGAAACGATGAAAGTGGAGAGAACTATGTGGCAATAAAACAGAAAACGCCTGCTTTTCTTTATTAACAGGTGCTTCAGCTGTGGACTATAAAACTATTACATTTTTTTAAATACTATTAAAAAAAAGGAACATTTTAGCAAAAGAAAGATCCCGTGAGCATCATTCAACTCGTCTTTTACTTCTTCGTCTGAACATTTTTGAAATGGAAGATTTCCTCTTAGTTTTGCTTTGCTTCACTCCTGGGTCCCCATGAAATAAAATAAAACATTAAGATATTTTAATTAATGAAAGAAATCAAGACTGGCATTGATAATAATAATAATAATAATAATAATAATAATAGCTACTTACCAAGATCTCGCATCATTTTATTCAACTGCAGGTCTTCTTCCCCTTCCCTGAAATGAACCAAACAAGTGTTTAACCATGATTAGCGTATTTATGAAGGTCGTGTCAGTTTATTTTTGTAATATGAAGTAAATTAATTCAACACTGCTTTGCCTTAGCCTGTCCTCATCAAGAACCTCCACGATGGCATTCCTGCCGTTGACGATCTCCACCAGTCGCCTCATCAGCTGCTTCTCCTGCTGCTGCTCTTCTCGGCTCTTTAGATGCTCTGTGGTATCAGATCACACCCACAGGTTAAAATGATGTGCTTTAGGTTGTTCCTTAATCTAGTGTCGGACTGCATTGTTTCAACTGCGGACTATTTATGCAGTTTGTCGTTTCTCTTGGGAGTATTGAGCGTTGTAGAGTTAAAATGACTTAAATGATCAGTGGTAGAGGTTGTTTTCATTTAACCCTCCTTGAAGTATTTTAATTTTTTTTTAATTTCAACCCCAGGGCTTTATTGTAGTCCATAACCAAAGTGTATCTGAGTTTAAATTAAAAAAAAAAAGTATTTTCACGCAAAAAAATCAGTGAAGACTAAGTGATCAAATTTAGACATTGGCCCTGTTCTGGGAAAATAAATCTCAAAATGAAAAACATGAACAAGTTAAATAAAAATTATTTTTTAATAATAAATTATAAGACTCTTTAGAATAATCTAGCTAATTTTAGAACATTATCCGTTCAATATTACAGATTACATCACAATTTTTAAACAATATGGTATAAAAACAGATTTTGAACTATTTTTGAAATGTTACTGAAAAATAGAAACCATTTCTGATCAAATACAGAATTTTAGAATATTTAATATTTGAGGATCTGCCTCATTATCACCTTCCTCCTGTTCATCATCACGGATTGGCTGGTGCAATAACTGTCCTCCATTTCCCTGAGAAATCTTAGTTTAAAACAGCAAAATATATTCATTATAATTATTACTGTTACCATAAATATTACGATTATGTCTTAAAAAACAACAAAAACACATTTTATATAAAAATATTCATAGTTTCTTTTACTTGTTAAGGGCATATGATCAAATATGCCAGATTTGAATTTCATGCTAAGATTTCACCAACTTCATTGACTTAAACATTTACAACACTCACATCCTTATTCAGCACAACTAGTCAACGTTGTGATGTGAGTGTTTCATAAGCCTAGCATTGTTAGTTTTAGAGATCTGACCATAAACACAAGAGGAGACCGAGCAGTTTGGTTGTGCAGATACAATATTTGGTGCGTTATAATCCCGCACGGACTGGTGGAACGGTGCCATGGTGCAAACCGTCACTAGCTTGATCTCTGATGATTGTTTGGGTTAAATTCTGTAATTCTAAGAGTTCGTGAAAGGGCGCACCACCATCATTTATGATGTAAGTGGAAGTGTGTAAATACAGACGTTGGCCTTATAAAGGGTTGAGTTGTGGAATAAAGGAAGATTTGACTTTAAGTTGTTAAAGTAAAAATTTAAGAAAATTAAATATATGTTTTGAGATAAAATAAGCTAAACCAGCATTGATAAAGACCCACAATGGCTTGGGCAAATGAACTATGGTGACAAAACTTCAGAACAGGTTGGTGAGAAAAATATAAAAAAAAATTAGAAATAAGTTTAAAAAAAGGGAATTCTTCCCACCATCTGGATCTGTATGACCAGTTTCAATGAGAGTTCTACTGGAGAAAATCAACACCAGCTCTAAGTGTTGAGAACATTGAGGTACTTGTGAATATTTGAGACTCTTATTTTGAAGGAAACTATAAGTTCTGCTGTTGGAGACCACATCAGGGACAAACTCAGATTTATTTGAGCTTTTATTTTGTGGTTCACCTTTGCTCTTAGATGACATTTACAATCATAAAAAACAAAACTAATATAGTCTCAGCTCATGTTGGCTTTCTCTGGCTTCTTGATAAAACTTCCTCCTGGACATTTCAACTCGATTCTGGAAACATTTTGGAAGTTTTGTAAAATTTTAAAACTACTTTTTAAAAATGTAATCACCTTCTTCATTTGTGTCCCAAGCAGCCTCTGCCATGTCTAATTCTAAAGCGGTCGTGCAGACATGTTCCTTTCCTGGTGAAAACCCTTTCACACTTAGACACAAGTGACTCCTGATGACAGCGGACGATTTCTCTCCACATAGTCGAGTCTGTTATTATACACCAGAGATCTTTCTCTCCACCCAAGCAGATTTTCTTCACCATGCTCTCCATCAAGCTTGTCGTATTCTTGTGGATTTCCCCACCTCATGACACTTTTACACTCCTATCAGCTGCAGCACAAAATACTTCCATCACCACCGCTGTGGCTCCTGCAAAAATGACTGACACGCATCTACGAGGCTCAGAAGTCACGTCTTAGAGGAGTTCACATAGAAAATGATGGTAGCCGGTAACATTTATCTCAGAACTGAGACTTATTTTACATCCAAGATGAAAGCACAAACAAAAGTCAGATGTTTGATCTTGTAGTGTAAACCTGACGTCACCTGGCTTCTCCAACAGCCTGCGAAGTTCTCCCTCCACTCCTGGCTGCTGCTGCTCCAGCTCCTGGGTCCTGGCTCTGGCAGATTTTTTCCATCACAAAAAGTAAGTTTAAACGCTCTTACTGCTTCTAGGAAGTTACCAAAAACAATACCCACACGTAAACGAGCTCCGATTCCTTCCTGACATACATCTGCTTTTGTCGAATCAGGTTAAACCAGTCGACCATCAGTGGATCCATCAATATGTCGCCATCTTCCTCTGAAAACAAGCCAAAAATAAATAAAAACACATTTCAGACCCTCTACATTAAGATTCTGAGATTTGTAGCAGCTTAGTTTACAGTCACTCATGAGCAGACGTCAATTATAAGCAGCTCATTTAAAGAAAATAAATGAAACTTGAGTACAGCCCTCTAAAGTCTCTAAGAAGTGTCCTTGTTCTGGGTGGCTGCAACGCGTAAATGGATCTCATTTAAAAGTCTTGAGTAAATTTAATCCTGCAGGGAAAAATTAAGAGTTCAGACTGCAACATTAAACATAAAAATGTGGATCTGAGTGCATTTAATTGTAAATGGCAGCATGCAAGGACGATTTGAATAAATCCAAATATTTACAATTGGATCATTAATCATGACTGTTTCTTTTATGACTTTGTATCTGAATACATTAAACTAAAGTTTATAGGAAGTCAGTTGAATATGAATAAATAAGTCACTTGGTTTTAAAGACAATTAAAACAAGTTGAGACCAGACTTTTTTTTTTAATCAATATTTAAACCAATGACAAGTGGCTCATCCATAGGGGGCACTAGGGTGCCATCCTCCCTGACAGTGAGATAAAATAATCAAAACGTGTGTCCGTTATGTTTAATTTTGTGTGCTTTCATGCAATCTGCATTATTTAAACACAATTTTCACCAGCTGTCTCAAACAGTGAGCATGTTGGTGGAAATTCACTACAACTCTCAGGGCGCTGGAAAAGGTGCTCCTGAATTGCAGCTAGACAGCCAATCATGTCTGGTTGCTAGGCAGAAACAGTCGCCCAGTCCCAATATTTACACTGAAAGCCTACAGTCCTCTACAAAGGGAGGTTGGAAGTGCATAAGGCTTCGAGTGTGTCGTAAACAAGTGAGCATTGTGTCATCGACCACGACTTCCTAAATGGGGATGCCGGTCGCTGTTCATGTAAAAGTAAATCAAGCAAATCAGCCAGAAATATAAAAAAAAGTATATAATTATATATCTACATCCAAGTCATGTTGACCTTCAGTAAAGCAATCAGACGGTTGTTCCCACAACCACAAAGGGGAGGCAACATCTCTGTAAATGGCAGGAGACACACACACACACACACACACACACACACACACACCTCTTTGGACTGGTAACCAAACCAAAAACATGAGGCAACCAGAACTCTGGATCAAATTAATTAGGGCTGCATGATATTAGGAAAACCGGCGATATTCGATAACAGTGCTTAATATTGCGATATCGATATTACTCACGATAAATGAACAAATACTAAAGTATGCAGTGTTGATGTCGTCTGGCGTGTGACGTCTGCTCTGAGTTCAAAGCAAACAAAAACTAATGCATGAATTCCATTACAACACAACATTTTTATTGAAATAATATGCAGCTGCACCTGCTACTGTATTAGCAGCTGCACCTGCTACTGTATTAGCAGCTGCACCTGCTACTGTATTAGCAGCAAAACAACAAACTGCATGCATGCAGTTTCTCAGTGACTTTAAAACATCACCTCCACCATAAAACTTTTTCTGATGCTCCAAATACAGAAAAACATCCCTTACCAGGGTTTTCTGAAGAAATAAAAATATCTGAAAATAAGTTTAAATGTTAAATAATAGTTAACGTCACTTAAATGCAACAGCAAATTCTCTCATTGCTACTGAGCATTTTCTCCACTTATGTGGTTATGATATAAGGCTGTTGCTGTAACTGGGAAGTGAACTGTGCTGGGCCAAACTAGGAGAATATTAAGATTTTCTGAGGGAAAGAGAAAAACAATTGTCTACCTTTCAGAAGAGGAACTGGCAAAAAAAAACTACATGGAAAATATGTGAAAACGTTTGGTTTTAACCCCAAATTGAACAAGTTTACCTAGATCTTAAAAAGCAGCTCAGATGATGAAACTGCAACAATGATTCTGGTAACAAGCTAACAAATTGAACTAGCTTCTCTTAAGATAACCGGTGTTCTGAGAAAACGTCCTACCCGTAGGATAATTTTACGTTGTTTTACATGACACATACCCTATCCCTCACCCTAACCCTAACCAAAGAAAAAAAGTACTGATAGTTACTACTTATCTATTTTCCTGCAAAAATGACAGCGGAGTAGCATTCCCCTTTTGTGTTGTGCGCCTGTGCGCACATGCTCAGTAACAACGGGTAGGACGGTTTACCGGGTAGGAGAATTTCTCAGAACACCGGCTAGCAGAGCTTCTGACTGAGTTTATGTGCAGCAGCAAATCAACTATCCTGATTAACAAGGTTATAAAAGCTCATAAATGAAAAATCACTTTGATGTGTGGGGGAACTTTTCCAGGCCCTCTTTAGCAGGGTGGGACTGGGAGGAGAGTGCTGCTGTAGCCTTTTAGCTGGAAGCTAACCGGAGCCAGAAACCTCAGCACAAAGTGCGTTCGTTAATCTGAGCCAGCATGACGAACAAGGGAAGCGAGCGGCAGCGGAAAGCGGGGGCGGAGCGGAGCGGAGATAGTGGAATTTTGGGGATACAGTCTGTGCTGGAGCGGGTGAACCAGGCGACACCACGGCGGCCCAAAGTAAGCGCAGCCCGGGAAGCTCCGCTCGGCAGCACCGTCTCCGACGCTCCGGTGTCGGCGCGCGGAGGAAGTGGTGGTGCCGAAAACAAAAGCGGTTATGTAAGGCTAACGGCAAACATCTCAACCTTCGGATGGAGACAGCCGAGCAGCGCGGGGCAGCTCGTAGGGGGCAGGCGTATTACGTGAACGGACCCATCTGATTGGCCGCATATCAGATAGGCTACATTTGATTGGTCAAATAAAACTTCCGCGTAAAAAACAGAGCTGGTTTACAAAAAGTTGATGTATGACACGGATGGAAATGTTTGAACCAAACATTTATCGCCGTTTTTGACGTGCTTTGCGATGGGCCTATCGCACGTCCTGTTATCGCGATGACGATAATTTTGACATATTGTGCAGCCATAAAATTAATACATTTCAGGATTTTTTCTGCAAATGAATCACAGGACGGATGGATTACGCTTCACATTACCAAAATACTTTTAATTGTTCCAACTTCAAACAAAGCTGTTCATATACCAAGGAGAGGGAAAGCGGCACACACCTTCCTCACAGCTGCGGAGTTTCTTTTCCAGTTCGACCCCCTCCTTCTCCAACCGAGCCAGGTTCTTCTCAATATCATCCAGCTCCTTCTCAATCTGCTCCGCTGGAATAGGAGACTTCACCTGATGCAAAACAAAAGAGCTTTAATCACCAACAAGATTTTAATTTGAAGGTTCAGATTGTAACCACGTTAATGTAAAGGTCATCCCTTTTCTGATGACTGTAATAAAAGCATATTTGCAGAACCGTTAATTAATCTCTTAAGAGATTAAGTGGTGGGGGGTGGGGGGGGGGGCGGGGGGGGACTTACCGAGGGTGACCTCATTTCAGTCCTGAAGGTGTTGGGAGACAAATACTTTCCCTTTTTAGCAGCTAAGAGGTAGAAAAACAGGATTAGGTGGTCCTTTCGTGTTGTCAGATTTGATTTGCCCTTACACTTTTTAGCTATAAAGCATAAAAACAATGAGGTGAAGACACTGACCTGCTGGACTTGCAGGATCGTCTAAAGCAGCTGTTGAAGAGTCGATGGATTTTACAGACGGTCTGAGAGGAGACTTGACAGGTGACTTGTGTTTAAAATCTGAAACGAGTAAAACGAAGCAGGTATGTTCAGCTGTGATACGATCATAGGCCAAAGTAAGCCAGCAGTCTTATGTTTAAAGAGATAATATCTGGTCTTTATTCTACTTCACACTTTTATTTTCTTCTAATCTACGTTGCTGTTGCACAAAAACTTTCCCAATGAGGAACAAGACAGGAGTTTGATTCAGTTCTGTTTCAATTAAAACAACCTATAACAGGCCCCACCTTGTCAGAACAAAGCCAGCATGGATAACAGTGTTGAAACCCAGCTGGTAAAACCGATTTAGCAGGAAAATCGTGGTTTTAAACTGGGAACAGGTTCACATCATGGAGGCCACATTCAAACGAGGATAACCGTCGTTAGCACCAGAGCTTAATTTGAGCCTGCCTTATTTTGGTCCTACATTGATCAAAATGTCCCGTTTCTCATCCAGGAGCAGAGATCGAATTGTGGTGGGATGGAGATCTTTCAGGGAGAGCCCGAAAAAAGATCCAGTTTCTACCTATTTACAGTTTTTATGGACTCAGCGTAGCAGGATTCTTAGGAGCGGAGAGGACGCAGAGCGCTGATGGCTGGAGCGCTCGCTGCGTCCAGCACACAAAAACATTAACACACTATTGTTCATATCTGTTTATATCCTCTGGTGTCTTTTAATCGTTCCTGACGCGCTCCGCTCATGTGCTGTGGTGATTTCACCTCAGACGCAGCATCGAAACACACACTCTGCTTTGCGGTCAGGAGATCCCTTTGATCTGCTGAGTTCAAAAGTAACTCATGAGGTGAAAAAGTAAGAAGCCAGGCAGCAGTTTTTCTGGAGAAATGAGGAGATGAGACAGACAGGACAGGAAAATAGTCACAAAAAAAAACAAAGCAAAGTGTTTGAAAAGTAAAATGTAGGTAGATTTATCTCCACTACACTTTTACCTGTATAAAGTAATAAGTTACACATGTAATATTTATACATGTGATACAATTCAGATCACCTTCAGAACTCACAACCCTAACCCTCACACACCCAGGGCCGTTTCAAGGCATTTTGGGGCCAAGGCAAAACAGAAATAAATCCACAACATGGATTATTACGGAGTATTTATGTGGAAACTGATCGGTAAATCTCTGCAGACATGAGCCATAAAGCATCTCAGACATATGCCTCACTTAGGACATTCAAGTCAAAATTTACTGGAGCTGATGGGTTAAAGTTAAAGTCCCATTAGTTGTCACACACACACTGATGTGTGTGCGAAATTTGTTCTCCGCATTTGACCCATCCCCTGAGGGAGCGGTGAGCTGCAGACACAACTGCGCTCGGGAACCATTTGGTGGTTTAACCCCCCAATCCAACCCCCTTAATGCTGAGTGTCAAGCAGGGAGGCATTGGGTCCCATTTTTTCAAAGTCTTTGGTATGACCCGACCAGGAATCGAACCCTGATCTCCCAGTCTCAGGGCGGACACTCTACCACTAGGCTACTGAGCTGGGTTAATTACCGTTCCAGCGTAATAAGTTTGTGGTCATTATCTGCAACAAGAGTGGGATGTAGACCAGCCTTTTTCTGTAATGCCGGCTGTGGTCAGGTTTTACCAACGGTGCTCCCAAGTCGGCTGTTTAGTAGAAGTGTGGTTCCATTTACCGTGAAAGGAAAAACAATGGTTAAGAAAAGATAAATACCTGGCGTTGTACAAAATCACTTGGGCTTGTAAAAGGTTTGCACACCTCATTCTGGACTAAACCAACTTTCATCCCTTCGACAGATTGTCGCACATTTGACTCTAGAATACTCTGGAAATGACTCCAGGGTGCCCAGATAATGATCTCTCCTCCACTGTCCTGACAGCTGAGATGGGGAACATTTCCTCCTATAAACACACATTTGCAATAACACCGGTGTGTGTGTCTGCAGCAGGTGTTGAGCTTTGTTTTCCGTCTAGAGCCGGTGGGGGTTGAGGCGGATCAACAGGAAATATGAACTTAACATCTTTACAGGTTCTGGGATTACCTTTACTACCTGACTCTGGTAATTCACAGACTTCGTACACAAGTGCCTGTTAAAGAGTATCATATATACACACTTTATAATCATTTTCATGTTCTAATCCTTTAAAGTACATTTTTATAAAAAAGCTTGAAGCAAACCAGCGTTCAGTTTGATTAAAGCCTCCTAAAGTAGCAGGCTCTCATTCCGATGCAAAGAAGCATCTTACCACAGCTTTCAGGGGCAGGCAGGGGTTTCTGAGGATCGACTTCCCTTAAGCACACAGGATCAAACGGAGCAAAGCCCGCTCCGGGTAAAGCAGGTGTTGGAACTGGGGCAGACCTTGCTGCACTAATAGGGACGGCACAGGAAGCTGTGGACGTGAAGCTAGGCGTGTGATGTTCAGTGAAGACCTCAAGCTCAGGATCTCTGCAGGAAACAATAAAGGCAGCCGTTTAAAATGACGCAACAGTGTGGCATTTACCCAGCATCACAAGCAGAGAAGGTTTAGGGTAAGAGCATGAAGATATAGATTAGACAACCTCACCTTGTATGTCTGCAAAGTGGTAAAGGAAGTGAGGAAGTAATCATCAGTTTTGATTAGAAGGGGGAAATGTAGAGTTAGAGCTGAAAGGTCAAGCGAGGCACTCCGTGGGGCTGGTTAGGATGGGAGACAGCGCTAACGGCGACACTCGGAGGCAAGCAGCAGCAACAGGAATGGGGGAGAGGCGAAGATTCTGGATTCTGGAGGGTGAACAAGTCTTTGACCCTTTAACATCAAGCCTAGAGACACGAGAGGATGCGGAAACATGTCTGCACACTTACTTTAGTCTTTGATCGGTTTTCATAGATCGGAGCTTTGTCTGCCAATCCGGGTAGACTGGGTCTGCAAAAAGTAAATACAATTAGGGCTTTATTATGCTTCCTAATGTCTATAGATTCATTAAATATTCAAAAGTCACGTAAAAGTCTAAAAGTATGCATTAAAATGCACAGTTAACAATTTAAACCGTTTTCACAGACAAATTCCTAAAAGAAGCGTTTGGCAACACCTAGAGGTGAAATTTCAAACTGCAACCAACTTCAAATAAATAAATAAATAAATAAAAAGTGAAAAACTGAGTTTCAATCGCCCAGGAAAAAAACATGCTAATGGAAAAACAATAAAGACAATCGGAGCTCGGCCCTCCTGTAAAAAATATCGTGTTTTAATCACCTAAACCCAACAAACTCCAGAGTTAGGTCAGTGAACACTACGTCAAGCTTTTATTTGTACCATTAGCTTCTGTTTTAAAGCTAATAATGCCTAGTTATCCTGTAAGAAATAGGAATTATTCTTTTGTTTTAATATTAGAAGAATTTATTTCAAAACTGCAAATATTCTTCAGCCATGTGAATATCGGAAAACAAGAGTTAATTTAAGGAGAGCTCATTGGTGCAAAAAATAAACTGTCCTGATACCGTTCCCAATAAAACCACCAATAATCGTGTGTCTTCAAACCCACTGACAGCCACAGTTACATGCATCCATCCCAAGAGAATGACAGTTCTAGAAAAGTTCATCAATTTGTGACAGAAATTAAAACGTCAGCTAGCAGCACGTCAAATGTATCGGCAGAATAAATGGGACAGAACAAAAGAGCTTTGTTTTCCTTGAATGTGTGAGGCAGGCAGAGTGTGTGTGTGTGTGTGTGTGTGTGGGGGGGGGGGGGGGGGGGGGGGGCACATGCAGGGGTGGACTGGCCTATCTGGCATTCTGGCACTGTCCCGGTGGGCTGCTTGCCCAGCTTGGGCCGACACGACTCCACAGTTGGTGATCCACAGAACATTAGCTACATGGTAACCTGAAACTAGCAGTGTTTTTCCAGGCGTTTTTAGCAAGAAAAAGCAGAGTGATGACGTAGGAGTTGCTTTACCACGTTAGCATGTAGCTAATGTCCCGCTGATCTCCGCCCATGGAGAATGAGCTGATCTGGAAGGCCAGGGCTCCCGGTCGCAGCGATCTGATTCTGCTTGTAATTTAACAATCCCAGTCCATATTAGAGCTCCCATTCGGTCTAGAGAGGAGTCCACGGGTGGCAACACCCCCCACCCCCACCGCTCTCCCAATGGGGAGGGCCGACGAGTCGTAAAAATGCCAGGGCCGAATTTTGGTCCCAGTCCACCCCTGGCCACATGTCAAATAGTGGATCAACCAGAAGTAAAATGAAATTGTTAGAGCTTACCTTTGGTGAGTTTGTGTACAGCTGCTGGCCTCGTGCGGTCCATGTTGAAGGTGGTCTGTCGCTGTGACTTTGTATCGTTAGCTTGGCGGCTGCTGGTCGGTCCTTCCCATCTTCGTGTTGGGCCTTGGCTGCATGTCTCCTTCCTCAAACCAGGAAAGTCATCTGAAACTTGGTTAGCACAAAACCTGCAAGGAGAAGTTCACTTTAAACCTAAAAACACGCAACATGGATGGGAGAAACACGCAAAGCTCACCGCCTCTCTGCAGGTCGGATGGTAAACGGCTTTTTGCTGTTGTTATTGTTGCCGTTTGCCTCCGCCAACTTCTTCCCGATCATCAATCTGGTTCTGTTCTCATCAGCAGAACTCAGATGTACTTTTGGTTTTTCCAACTGCTCTATGGGCTTTGGGATTCCTGCTGAGGTTTCAGTTACTTGTGGCAGAGCCTGGAAAAACTTCTGCCTTGCTGCCTGGGTCCTCTGGGCGGAGACCGTCCAGGACTGGGACTGTGGCGTGGGACTCGCTGGCTTCAGGACAACATCAACTGGAGCTGACAGCACTGAGGAGAAACGGGGCACTGGCTGGGTCAGCGTGGCACTAGATGAAAGAGGGACTCCGGTTGTGACCTCTGCACTAGAGGGTGGAGAACTGCTCTGGTGGGAGCTGCAGACAAACGTGTCGGGGTTCTTCCCAGACCTGTAGCCTCCTGCATGAAGAAAGCTGGAGCATTCGCTGCACCTGATAGAATTTATCGTCATTCAACTCAGAACTGGATTAAAGTTTAATCTGTGGAAATGGTGGTAATAAAAACAACTAAAGGGTCTTACTTGAAGCAGCTTCTGTGATAAAGCTTTCCTTCCACAAAGTGCCTCTGAACCAGGTGGACGTGGCTCTTACATGCAACACATTTGCTGTTAAGAGTCCCGCCTTTGTTTGGATTGTCAGTCAAAACCGCCTTCTGAAAACGAGCCAATAAAATAGGTGGTGAATGCACCCACTCTGAGAAAAACCAGCTAAATCGTCCTTACACTTTATTTTATGTGGATGTTTCTGCAGCCTCTAACCTCAGCAGCAGGTCTATCCAGGCTGGATGGGAGACGAGTCGATCGGGAGGAGGATGAACAGTTCTCAATGCCAGTTTTAGACACAAACCTGGAAACCACTGGGTGAGTTTTCTTCTCTGATGGCTCCTCCTTGGAGCCCTCTGCTGGCCTTTTCACACCTCCCACTGGAGGACAAAAGCCACCATTACTGCCACATATACTCTGAATGGGTGTAATATATACTGTATATTATGGGCCATTCCCATCTGTACCGGGTCGGCCCGGGCCTGGTAGCGTAGGTTGTTTACATATCTGGGTGGCCTGGTATTTTTCCGGGCCAACCAAGGCTCATTCTCAGCCCTCTTCTCGAGGGGGTCTGCTTCAGGCAGACCAGGCCCAACACACCCACTGCTGACAGCAAATTCACACCTTCCACTAGAGCAAGCCTCTGATTGGTGGGTAGAATCAGCCCACATGGGCTTAAGACAAGGATGTGTGGAATCAACCGGGCCAGGCTGGGGCCGACTGGGGCTACCCGGCCCGGGCCGACCTGGTACAGATGGGAATGGCCCATTATACATACACACACAGTGGGGCAAAAAAGTATTTAGTCAGCCACCGATTGTGCAAGTTCTCCCACCTAAAATGATGACAGTGGTCAGTAATTTTCATCATAGGTACACTTCAACTGTGAGAGACAGAATGTGAAAAAAAAATCCATGAATTCACATGGCGCGATTTTTAAAGAATTTATTTGTAAATCAGGGTGGAAAATAAGTATTTGGTCACTTCAAACAAGGAAAATCTCTGGCTCTCACAGACCTGTAACATCTTCTTGAAGAAGCTTTTCTGTCCTCCACTCGTTACCTGTATTAATGGCACCTGTTTGAACTCATTGTCTGTATAAAAGACACCTGTCCACAGCCTCAAACAGTCAGACTCCAAACTCCACTGTGGCCAAGACCAAAGAGCTTTCGAAGGACACCAGGAAAAGAATTGTAGACCTGCACCAGACTGGGAAGAGTGAATCTACAATAGGCAAGCAGCTTGGTGTGAAAAAATCAACTGTGGGAGCAATTATCAGATAATGGAAGACATACAAGACCACTGATAATCTCCCTCGATCTGGGGCTCCATGCAAGATCTCATCCCGTAGGGTCAAAATGATCATGAGAACGGTGAGCAAGAATCCCAGAACCACACGGGGGGGACCTGGAGAATGACCTGCAGAGAGCTGGGACCACAGTAACAAAGGTCACCATCAGTAACACACTACAACGGCAGGAAATCAAATCCTGCAGTGCCAGACGTGTTCCGCTGCTGAAGCCAGTGCATGTCCAGGCCCGTCTGAAGTTTGCCAGAGAGCACATGGATGATACAGCAGAGGATTTGGAGATTGTCATGTGGTCAGATGAAACCAAAGTAGAACTTTTTGGTATAAACTCAACTCATCGTGTTTGGAGGAAGAAGAATACCGAGTTGCATCCCAAGAACACCATACCTACTGTGAAGCATGGGGGTGGGAACATCATGCTTTGGGGCTGTTTTTCTGCTAAGGGGACAGGACGACTGATCCGTGTTAAGGACAGAATGAATGGGGCCATGTATCATGAGATTCTGAGCCAAAACCTCCTTCCATCAGTGAGAGCTTTGAAGATGAAACGTGGCTGGGTCTTCCAACACGACAATGATCCCAAACACACCGCCCGGGCAACAAAGGAGTGGCTCCGTAAGAAGCATTTGAAAGTCCTGGAGTGGCCTAGCCAGTCTCCAGACCTCAACCCCATAGAAAATCTGACGAGGGAGTTGAAAGTCCGTGTTGCTCGGCGACAGCCCCAAAACATCACTGCTCTCAAAGATCTGCATGGAGGAATGGGCCAAAATACCAGCTACTGTGTGTGCAAACCTGGTAAAGACCTATAGTAATCGTTTGACCTCTGTTATTGCCAACAAAGGTTATGTTACAAAGTATTGACTTGAATTTGTTATTGACCAAATACTTATTTTCCACCCTGATTTACAAATAAATTCTTTAAAAATCCTGCCATGTGAATTCATGGATTTTTTTCACATTCTGTCTCTCACAGTTGAAGTGTACCTATGATGAAAATCACTGACCTCTGTCATCATTTTAAGTGGGAGAACTTGCACAATCGGTGGCTGACTAAATACTTTTTTGCCCCACTGATATATATATATATATATATATATATATATATATATATATATGATTGTATAGCTCTGCAAGACATGGACTAAAAAAGCCTGAAATATGCCCGAGAGGAGGCATGCGAAGGGAAGAAACTCACTTGGAGGTCGTCCTTTGAAGTAGTTGTGATACTGAGACACGTACGTTAGAATGCTCAGCCTGTCAGGGATCCTTAAAGCCACCATGTCTTCTGCATCCAACAGGGCTGGAATACCCAACTTATCCTCTGCAACCTGAAAGGCCTTGGTTTAAATAATAAACACACATTAAACTGCATGAAATCCAAGCGTTCTTAGTAAACTTAATATGTTTATGTAAAAGTAAATAAGACCCAGTGGTTACAGCCATTCAGACAATGAAAAGTTCAAACAAAAGGTGAATGACAGACTTCCTGTAGAGGGGGCGGGGCTTCGGGGTATTGTTCAGTTTCTGTGTAGACTAGAGGTCAGACTTCCTGTAGAGGGGGTGGGGCTTCAGGGTATTGTTCAGTTTCTGTGTAGACCAGAGGTTTGCAATCTTTAAGACTGAAAAATTATTTACCACTTTGAGAATTTACATGACTTTTACACTTTTACTGAGATAATTACCTCACGCCCATTTATGACTTAAGCCAGTGGTACTCAGTTCTGGTCCTGGAGGGCTGGCATCCCGCATGTTTTTGTAGTTTCTCTGCTCCAACACACCTGATTCAGTGGGCGAGTCACCTGTGCAGCAGCTCATCAGGCTCTGCAGAAGCCTGTTAATCCCCTGCTGATTGAAATCAGGTGTGTAGAAGCAGAGTTAAAACATGCCGGCTCTCCAGCATCAGGAGTGCGTACCACTGACCTAAGGAACCAATATGGTGATAAAGAACTTAAATAAATGTTTTTGGGCTCGATTGCTTTTAGACACCATTTTATTTATAAATATCTTAATTTGTTTGATCTAATACATGCAAAAAAGTTTTAATAAAAACCAGCAAAATGGGTCAGATATGTACTTAGACGTTAGTTTTCTGTTGCTTAAGGAAAATAGAAAACATGCAAAAAGAAAAAAAACCACTTGAAGAAAACTCGAAACAACGAAGAAGCTAAATCTGCTACTAAAACATTGGGAAGCATCGTATTTGTATTGTTTTTGTCACTGTTCTTTGGAAACTGCACTTATTAAAGATTTTGGTATTTTTCCACAATAAATGTGGAGAATAAAATATTAAATTCCCAAAATAAAACAAAGATTTTGGGTGGAGCCTCCAATGTAATGTTTATGTATTTCATAGCACACTGCCTCTTTAATCTGATAAACATTTCCCATTTTTTGCTAACATAAATACTTTTTTCAGGTTCATGCTATTTTAGCTAAAAGCAGCCATGTCACAGGGTCTGAAACACAAACACATTTTCACCTGTAGGAAACAAGATACTATTCATGAAATATAGAGTCTGAACCATTCCAGTCTCACGTTTCACCTCAGGGGGCATTAAATAACTTCACCTGATCAAACTTGCTACAGGCCCCAAATCTGTCTGTCTTTAAGAGGCGTGCATCAGGTGAACCATCAGGGTGCGGATCGGATAGCAGAGGATAGGCTTCATTCAAAATTCAACCGAGCGCCTCAGGTTGGTCTGACAGCATCCTCCAGAACAAAAAGTCCAGCTGAGCTCCTTAATAATGGAGCTAAATAAAAGGAGTTCACGTAGTAAATGCAGAGCTTAAAGCGAGATTATCACTGTTGTTCAGGCTGCTGTGGCGTTACAAATATAGAAAATACTAAATATTAAACAAGACTGCTACACCAGGATAAGAACATATACTCAGAGTTGCTGCCTGTGTCGTGTTTCCAGGATTAATCATGTAGACGTTTAGAGAAAATCTCAATTTGGCAGCTTGGGCTTGTAAAAGCTGTTCATCTGTGAGCTGAAAGGTTAAACAAGCTGACATCTTACCAGTCTGTTGTTCTCAAACACATCCTCCTTTCTGAGTGAGTCATAGTCTCTGGAGCACACGCGCGCACACGCACACACACACGCACACACACACACACACACACACACACACACACACACACACACACACACACACACACACACACACACACACACACACACACACACACACACACACACACACAGAGAGAGAGACAGAGACAGAGTCAGAGAAAGTCATCAAACCTAAAGTTGGATTATAAAATCTAAAAGCCACATTTAACAGGTTCATCTCTATAAAAACGACTCGCCTTGTAGAATATTTTAACATAAATGAACACATGATGTAAATATGGAAACCTCATATAAAAAGGTAGTTATTGTAGCTTTTGTCGTGCACGTTAGCAGCACAGGTGAGCTGCACGAACCAGACTCCAGCGCGCGGAGTGGAATACTCACATCAGGTCGGGTCTGTACTTGTGGATGAGCGCGCAGAAAGCCATCCCGTTCCTGAACGAGGTGGTCATGTTGGTGATGGCCACGTCTCGGTAGCCTTCACACTGCAGCTTGCACCACTGCTCCAAAGCCTTGATCGCAGCCATGCTCCCACCGAGCAGAGGGGAGAGGGTGTGAGGAGGAGCGGAGAGGACGCAGGAATAAACGCGTCTGCTGCTCTGGGGCTTCGGCCGAGAACCGGTGCTGCAGCTGCGTCCTGTTTCCGGTCTCCCACCTGACTGACTGACTGACTGAGCTCCGACCGCTGCTGCTCATTACAATAATAGGCTCTGACTGCTAATTCTTCACTCACGACAGTTGATTAAAAACTCTAAAGGAGTAGACTACAGAGCAGCATCGGTATGATGTATGAACTAGGTTCCTGCATTTAGTCCACCTTAAAAAATAAAACTATTTGTGCTCAGTGGGATGAATCCTGTTCAAATTGGTAACAAATAAATAAATGATAATTGAACTGTCAGTAAAACGCTTGTGTTGCGTTAATGTCTGTATTAAATGGAGTTATCACAAATAAACAGCGACTTAATCATCCATGCAGTGGTGCACCGCACCCAAGATAACATGGGGGCAACGGCCCCTATATCAACCTGCTTGGTCCCCTGAAACCATCCCACCCCATCCTGCTAATTGCTAATTAGACGTGTGTGTGTGTGTGTGTGTGTGTGTGTGTGTGTGTGTGTGTGTGTGTGTGTGTGTGTGTGTGTGTGTATGTGTGTGTGTGTGCATGCGTGCGTGCGTGCGTGCGTGCGTGTGTGTGTGTGTTTATAAGAAAATTATAACTATGGATTGAGTTTTTATTTTCTATTTAAATGTGTTTAATGCTGTTTCTTATAAATGTGGATTTGAAGAGGGAAGGACAAATGGACACTAGCTTTTCCATTTATGTATCATATCACAACCTCAAATTTATAATAATATTTACAAGAAGTTTGTTAATAAAAACAAATGCATATTTAAAAAAAACATTGAGACCGGGGCTTGTTGTTTGTAGTATAGGCCTATTAATTAAGTGATTAAGCTTTTTTATTCTCATTAAAAATAATAACTGCCACATGACGTGGGTTTATATCTCACACTAATTTTAAATGATCACATATCAACATTAATGGACAATTATGTGATTTATAATAGAAAGAACTAAGAATCCAACGTATTTTTTTACCAGAAAGTGATTCCCTGACTACATACTGTAGTAATTTTAAATAGCATATTAAAAAATACTTTTTGGGTGTGCCTCTATTTGTTGGCCCTCATATAGTCACCCCTTAAAAAACTTCTGGAGATTCCTTAGTCTCTGTGAGAGTAAACTTTTTTCCACAGACATTTTCTGCAGCATTACTGAAGGATAAAACTGTAAACGTGCCATCTGAGAATAACCAACAGAATATGTGGCATGCAATTTTTTATCTTGTTTCTTTCTCTAGAGGCTAATAGGGACTTAATTGAGGCCAACTTTATTATAGTGTTCCAGGAAATGTTGGGAAAACTTTGTTTTTAAGAGCAGGCTTGGTCTCTTGTGAAGTTTTCTGTGAAAAAAGGAACATTTACAGAGTTGTTTCACATTAACATAAAGCAGAATGGCTCTCATTTTGAACTGTGTCTCCATATAAACTATAACCCACTGACCCCATCAGCAAGAGTTGGAGCCTCTGACGCTCAGAGTGTAATTAGTGTGAGGCCAGAGCTGAAACCCAGTCTTTGAAATAGAAGCAACACACACCGACCTCATTCATTAAAACGGGTCACAAAACTCTTGAATTGTTTATTGTTTAAGTTCAGATAATAGAAGCAGAAATAAAAATTCTGTTATAGCAAAATCAGTTTTTTTTAAGACAATAACAATTTAAAAAAAGATTTGATGTTGTCTTCTTCTGTGTGTGGACATGTCTCCATCCCCAGAAGGGGGCAGCGTCTCACTACGCTGTTGATGACGGATGAGTTCTCTGCAGGATTTGAGCAAGAATCAACGCACCCATTCTTTTTATTCCCACTTTATTCAGCTCATATGAGCAATTATGTTCAGTGGTTATAATTTCATGTTTGAGAATTAAAATAACTCAGATCAAAGGCGTTTATGAAAATGGTGGATATGGTCTATGAAAGATGCAAAACACTCTAAACAGAGGTGAGTGACCAGATTTGTGAGTTTATTTTCTATTATAAAATTGTTATAATTTTTTCAATTAAAAATGGTCAAGCACCAGTAATTAAACCCCTAAATGCTGCATAAAACTCAGACCCTGGAAGTGTGAAGCCGGGATTCATGAGTTCATTTTGCAGCCATTTCCATTGTTTCCTGTGGGGATGTGCAACTGCATGCAGACATCCTCAGTGTGTGTGTGTGTGTGTGTGTGTGTGTGTGTGTGTGTGTGTGTGTGTGTGTGTGTGTGTGTGTGTGTGTGTGTGAAACCCAAAAGGTCAAGGATGTCATTAGTGAACTCATTTAGAAGGGACTTGACTGCATCCCGTTTTGGCCGAGGCTCGGTGTCAACATTTGTCATTGTTATCTGATAACGCTCTGTCACAGTGGAGACCCATCGGTCACAGTTACTGTGGGATCAGCTCACACACACACTAGAGACAGAATCACCTGATATTAAAGAAAGGAAAGCTGGTGAATTAACATATTACCTTACAAAGTGTTTGGAGGCCTTATTTGCATCACGTTCATTAGTGAACTAATGGTGTGTATTTTATTTTAATATGCAGCCAAAAGCTAACTTCATAAAAATCAAATATACAGAATAAACTGTTCGGGTGGACGTCTTTATGTTCCTAGAGGCCAAGAAACGCTGCAACTCTCCTCATAAATACAATTATAAATCACATTTAACCCTTCTGTTGTGTTAGGGTCAAAACTGACCCGTTTTCGAGTTTAACTGTGTAAAAAGTACACTTTCCTTTTTTGTCCTAGAATGAGGCGTCATCTAATCCTCAGACACACCTATTTAAATGCAGCAAAATCAATTTTCACAATTTTAGTAAATTCTAAAGGTCTCAAAAAAAATAGTTACATGTGTGGTGTTACTGGTCCAAAATGACCCGGCAGAGAAAACTGGCTGTTGTATGCATCACTTAACCGTCTCAGGCTCAAAATAAGTTTCGATAAAAGGACGAACAACTAAGTCCTTCAGGGGCACTTCTGAGTTAAAAAATGCTCATGAAATATGTATGTGGAGTAACCAGGTAGGTAGGTTTTAACGTTGCTAACCTGCAACGCCTGCCTCCAGAGGGTTAAAAGCTATGGGTTGCTCTGAAGATCATTTATGCCCCAATATGCACAGTTATGGCCCACATCACCAACACACACACACACACACACACACACACACACACACACACACACACACACACACACACAAAGTTCAAATTATGGTTTCTTTCCATTGTTTAGATCAAGATTAATTCAGAACAACACACCTGCGCTAACACCGTATTTTTTTTTCAATGTTCAGTTTATGGCCAATGCAGGTGCATGCGCACACACAACCACACACACAGTGTTTATCATTGTTCATTTTATGGTTAAGTGATTTGGTTATTTGGTCTGGTTAAATAAAAGTTGGTTTTATGGGTCACAAATTGACTTGTTGTCTTTATCCTACCATTTATCTATGCGGGTCCGTTTTGACCCGAAACACCAAAGATGTCACTGTTGTTAATCATTTTAAATAGTAAAAAAAAAAATTTTTAATTTTTTTGGTAGGTCTACTCTAATATTAGTTTATAACACATTTATAGTTTATTATTACTCATTCTATAAGAAAAATAAATGTATTTGGTTTTTGCAATCAAAAAGAAGTGGTATATTTTAAAATACTGTGTATGTGGAGCCAACTCAAAAACTATTCACCATCTATATGAATACATACTAAGCCAGCAAGTAGCTGAAAAACAACATTTGAAGAAAACTGGCGATTTTAAGCATTTTCAAGCATTTTTAAATCATGGGTCCAAATGGACCCGCTAACACCACAGGTGTAAACAGCTTTCTAACACAATACACGGGTTAAAAACAACACTGAATGGAATAGGCTGTCTGTTAAATACACACTGATTTAAGTGTGAAGGTTAAAGTCACACTTGGCAGTTTTGGCTTGCTTTCAGCACCCCCTAGTACCCGTTTATTAGAACCAGAAGCAAAACCCATCTCCTCGCTGTGCGTTTGTCTTTTTAACACCTTATAGGCTCGACACACGGGAGGCGACATCGCCTCTCCTCCATTCATTTTCAATGAGACATGCACGACAAAGCGATAATCGCAGGTCTCCCTCCTACTAAGCGAAACGCAAAAAACGTGCGTGTGAAATTTTGCGCTCGTGCACGTGTCGTGCACAGGCGACCCAGCTACGCGATCCCAGAAAGTTGAAACATTTTCAACTTTTCGTCGCTGTCGCTCGGACGAGGACCAATCAAAGGAGGTTTCATTCACTGACCAATGAGCGGACAGGATGCTCCGAGCAAACATGGAGGAGAAGTTGATTATTATTATGTTTTTATAGTAAAATCAGAAGTAAGATTTCACATAACTCTAGCAGCACCTTGTGAAACATCATATCTACCGCTTTACTAACTCTGAACCGCTTAAATAACCTTAATTCCCTCCAACCTGACACAGCCAATCAAAACAACGGAAGTTTCGATTTCGCCATGGAACAGAACGCGTAGACGGCTTTGCCGCTGCCGCGGATCGCCTCCCGTGTGTCAGGTAATAAAAGCGACGGCGACAAACTTCGCTGATCGCGGTCGTTTGTCGCCTCCCGTGTGTCGAGCCCATACATCTAACTGCTGAAATGTCTCCCCAGCCTTCATTAGTGTCTACAGGAGTGACTCATCACTAAATTAAACAAATCAGCTGTTTTCATGATCTACAACATGCAGGAAATGGTGGGAGCAGACTGGAGCGCCAGGTATGTCAGCTCTATTTAATTTTAAAGCCTGATTGATACTTCTCTGTGAGCACTACAACGGAGATAGATGCGCACGGAGTGTCAGAAAGGTCTTCACATGTAAACTTCTGCACAGGCAGTGGCGTTGCAAAGCAATTCCCCACCAGGACAACAGAGGACGTAGTGATTTTGGTATTCTGCCACCATAACACTCATGTAGCTGGTCCACGATAGTGTATTTACTAATGTGTTTACATGTTTCAGAGACTGTTTTAACACGGACAGATTTGTCCTTAATTCTCCTCTACCTCTTCATTGCGGTCACCACCTCTAAACCCACGTTTCCTGTCGTTTCCGTCCACATTTGCTCTGTATTTTGTACTCCTCCATTCACGGGTGAAGAAATGTTCATATTTTCAGACTTTATCCATGATGTGTTCTTCAATCTGTTCTGGGTCTGCCACTAATTATCTTTACTTTTTAACAGGACAACTGCGGTGCTGGTGACAAATATACAGGAAGAGGCGTCCTGACCAATCACAAGCTTGTGGTCTCCATCACCTTCACTAGAAGTCTCTGTCTTCTTCTGTGACCTCGTCGGAGAGCTCTTGCGTCGACGCATAACAATGTTGCGTGTCTCTGCACTAACACAGACGGAGAAGTGTAAATCAGACCGGAACGGCACTCTGAAGTTGTAAATGCATTATTCTGGCCACAAAAGCCGTTGGGGGTTTGAGTGACTTTTCATTAACCCCTTAAAGGGTGATTTTAGTACATACTGGCTCAAGAAAATGATTTAAAAAATATAAAAAAAGTTGCAAAGTATCCCTTTAAATACATTCAAATGTGTGAAAATGCTGTAAATATCAAAACTGGATGTGTTAATCGTTTATTTTCATTAATCAACAAAAAACAGTGAATGACAAATAGAGAAATCTAAATCTAATCAACATGACCGCCCTCTGCCTTCACATCAGCTACACTTGCACACAGCTGCTGAAGGAACTGGGCTGATAAGTTCTTCCAGACATGTTGGAGGACTAACCACAGATCTTCTATGGGTGTAGGCTTCCTCCCATCCTTCTCTCTCTCTCTCTCTCTCTCTCTCTCTCTCTCTCTCTCTCTCTCTCTCTCTCTCTCTCTCTCTCTCTCCACACACACACATATATATAAATAAATAAATATATATATGTATATATATATATATATATATATATATATATATATATATAGATATAGATATATATATAACATCCCAGACACACTCTATGATGCGGGGATCAGGGCTCTGTGGGGGCTGGGCCATCATTTAGGACTTCTGGTTCTTCTTCGTGCTGAAGATTGTTCTGAATGACTTTGGCTGGATGTTTGGAGTCACTCACTTTACATCCAGTAAAATGATTAAAATAATATTTTTTTTATTTTTTAAAGCATTCTTTGTTTACATCGTTTGACCGTACCTGCCTAAATCTTTTGCACAGAGCTGTATGTATCAATAACAAAAACACACTAATGCTAAATTACTGTGGAGATAGAATCTGATTTGATTCTCTGTTCCTGTTTGTTGTCATAAGGACACACACACACACACACACACACACACACACACACACACACACACACACACACACACACACACACATATATAAATATAAAAATATATATATATATATATATATATATATACATAAAGTTCTGTTTAAACTTTACAAAATGTGTAAATTCACCAAATGGGTTTATTTTAGGATATATTTTTAATACAAACATTACTTTTTACACAAAAAGATAATGTTTCTTTGTAGTTTTAGAGAAATGAAACAGATTACCTAAATGCAGAAGTGAATAAAGCTAAATGTTAAAATTCATCCTCAGAAGTAAAAACCATTTACTTTGTTTTTCATCTCTGCACAAACAGGAAGAAGATCAGTCACTGAGCACGGCGTCAGTTTCCTGTGTTTGTGGCTGTTCGTCACCAGCTGGCATGTTTACAGGTCTGTGGATCTCAGCCTCGTGCTCCCTGGCTTTGGCCCTCAGCTCGGCGATGCTGCAGGAGCGAAGCTCCTCTGAGCTCAGCCCCCCCGCCCTCTCCCACTTCTGGGTCACCGGCTGCTGACGCACGCTCAGCGGAGGAGCTGGGGCTTTTGTCCATGAGTAGTCCTGTCCTTCCTGTTGCCTCTCCCAGGCCTCGCTGTCACAACTTTCTGTCGGGTTGGAAACTCTGCACCTCTTATCAAAAAAATCACCATTGTTGCTTTTCACGTGAGGTTGTGAAATTTGGCCTTGGAGCTTCAGCTGCCGCCTCATCTTGGCTCGGCGGTTTTGGAACCACACCTTGGAGCAAAGGAAGGGCACGTGTAAGGACAAATGTTAAAAATAGTCAAAAAATTACATTTGGGGAACAGTTTTTATTTTTTTAAGAGTTTGTATTTGAAACAAATATGAGACGGCCTGATGGGGAAATATTGCAGGCAAGAAGTAAAAGTTGTGGAGATTTTACACTTAAAATGATTCAGATGTTTGATAAAAATATTGTTTTCAATAGTTCTGAAAGCAACTCTGTGTTTGAAATGATCTAAAGAAAAATACGTTTGTTTACATGATGCACAGACAGAAATAATAAAATCTCTGTGAGATGTGTTTTATTCTTATATTATCTGGAGCGTCTCGTGAAAATTATTTCACCAAACTGAGTTGAACTTGAACCAAAAGGTTTTTTTCATGCATTACACTCTGACGTGATGTCCAAGATTTGACCTTTTGGACCACAACAGTGTTGGTGTTGTTAAGAACTTTAAAAATCAACAATAAAAGTAGGAGAAAATTATATCCTGCGTCTGTTGTTATAAACGAGAAAGTTAGGATTAACAGTTTTATTGCAAATGGGCTAAACATTCCAGTGTAAAGTACTGGAAAATCCAAGTGGGATCAGGATTTAGGAGCCCATCAACCTGAACTCTGGCCTCGATCAGGTCCAGTCTGAGGGCCAGGGCTTCCCTCATGAAGACATCTGGATAGTGCGTCGTCTCAAACGCTTTCTCCAGCTCCTCCAGCTGCCAGCTGCTGTAGTTGGCTCGTGCACGCCGTTGCTTCACTGGCCTCTGTTCATCTGGAAAACGCAGCACAAGCACCAATTAGACAGTCGCCAATGGGTGACAGGAAACTAATGGCTCTGAATTGGATAATTAGCGCGGCGATCATTAGACCCGTTTTAACACTGCGTGATAATTGATTGTTAGTTACGAGCAGTTAGTCAGTCTTTTGTAAACATTTACACCGACGCTTGTAGACTGTCTTAAAAGCTGTAAGTGCCAGTTCAGCCGAGCTCTGTGGGATCAGTTCCGGTGTTAACCCATCAGAACCATGGATGTAATTTTTGGGGGGACAGGGGGGACATGTCCCCCCCACTTTTTCCAAAGTCAAGTTTTGACCCCTGCACTTTTTACCATCCAACAACAATATTACACTATATTAAATTGACACTGGTTGAGCTCTAGGACCAAGCGGAAAACAACCGTTTGTGTTGAAGCCTGTTTCCCATTGGAACATACTGTAAAGATAACCCCCCCCCCCCCCCCCCCCGTGTCCCCCCTACTTTTAAACTGAAAATTACGTCCATGATCAGAACCATTCTGCCTCATGAATGGAGGGTTTGAACTCACCTAGGCTCTCCGTTAGGGGCCCAATCCCCACCGCCTGAGTGGCCAGCAGCAGAGCTTCCTTGCAGGGTTCAGGTTGAAGGTAATTCCTCAGGGATTCGTAGCTGAAAAAGGGCCCCGGTATCAGGATCTGGGGTGGGGAGCCTAGTCTGGTTGGGAATGCCGGGAAGAAGTGAGCTGCAGGCGAATGGAAAACTGCAGGAAAGAGACTGGAAATAATTTGCCCTGGGCTAAACATGGCTAAAAAGGGCCAAGTAGAATTTAAAAAGATGCTGATAGAACGGTGAAAAGCATCTTACTATCCAGGTTAAAGGAAGAGTCGATAGTAACGCAGGAGGCATGTATCCAGTCCGAGCTGCTGGGCGGCTCTGAGCAGGTAGGTGTTACCTAGAAAGTGAAGGTAACACTTAAGTAGGAGGTGGTCTCACCTCAGCTTCCCCTCCTACCTGGTCTCATCACACCCAAACACCAGCAGAGCTCTGTGGAAAACTCAAGTCTCCATAGGATCGTCATCAGGACTGTATTTGTTATAACTTTACATCCGACAACTGGCCAGAACTTGTGTCGTTCACAAACGAGAACGAGCTGCAACATTTCTCTCCTCTGAAACATCAATGAGTGGGCCGAGTGAACCAGATGAATTCTTGCTGTGCAAAGTTTGAGTTGAGCAAAGTTGAATAAGATGTTCATTTAGTCTGGCTTGCCAGGCTATCTTTGAGTGGCATTACTGTTAGTTTGTAAGTCGTGAAACCGTTAAAACGCTGATAAAAACAAACCGCTGCAACAGAGGCGTCACAAGAACAGGTCCTCGGTTTGGTCGGACCACAGAAAACCAAAAGGTCCCTGAGGAACAGGTCTGAGTAACAAACCTGTAGGAAGGTTCCTGCTGTTGGCTCACTTGGAATGAGAGAAGACACGTTTCGTCTTCAGTTTCACGCTCTGGCTGGTCCTCACATTCGCTTTTGGAGGAAACGCAGCACAACCACAGTTTTACAAGGCTAAATAAAGCACCGGAACTGTTTTCTGTTATAATCATTAAAAGTTGACAGTTTGATAGTTTCATGTTTTCATGCAAATTTTTCTAACTGTTTAAACTTCATGCCACCAATGTTGTTTTCAGCTTTCATAACATTTAGTTGTCTTGGCTTCTTAGTGTTTTCAGTTTTTTATCAGCCGTAATTAAAAAGCTAAACTAGCTGCTTGTGCTAATTAACTGTAAAGAGCTAGTGGCTAACCCACGCTCCGCAAGACAGAAAGTCTTGATGTTGGCGTGCTAACTTGCTGGAAGAAGTACATTTATGTGTGTGTTATTTTACTCGTTCATTCTAATAATATTCTATAATTAAACTTTATAAAACGACAGCTTTGTTGCTTGGTCTGATTGTGATTTAACTCATGAAACGTGGCGTGACTACAGTGTTCTGACATTCCTGTCATTAAGTTAACACTTCACTCACAAATACCTACGTACAAATGAACAACAAATAAAGCTTTGGTTGGGGGTCGTTACCAAGCACTTCGTGGATTTTTTCATGTCAGACCGACGTGTGCACATCAACACATTAACAGTCAAAGCAGGAAGATTATTAACACCCCTTCTTGTTTTTTTCTCCCAGCGAGACAGCTGCAGCTTAGTGCTGACGGATCTCTGATGAGACGATCACCAACACTGTCTGTGTGAATTAAACCCAGGTGTGTCAATTAATCCAGAGATACATATCACCCCAACGACACGTCTGAGATGACAGCTCGTCAGCTCAGATGGTGGTGAAAACATCCAGCTGTCGGCGCCGTCACCAGTGAACAGGCAGGCCGAGGTGGCTTTGATCAGGAGGCAGCTGGTCAGAGCTCAGGTGAGTCACAGGATGGTCATTCCTCTGTAGGCAACAGGGACTCCACCTCCTTCACCTGTGTGGCCCTTTCATCCGCACCTGTTCAAACAGTGGAGGCAATAAGTCGTATTCCTTCAGATGTTCAGTTGAAACTTAAAGCTGATTTGTAGCTAATGCAGACTTCCCGTGTAAAACCGCACAGCTTTCCTATTTAAATAACACGTGGACAACAGAAACTGTTGCATTACGACTAGTGTTATTGGTTCTTTTGGTAACACTTTAGTTTGGGGAACACAAATTAACCATTAATTAGTTGCCTATTAATATTAGTGGTTTACTAAGTCTGAACTAGTCATTAATAAACACTTATTAACAGCTTATTAGTAATGCTGTAATTCTAACATTAACTGTCGATAAATGAAGAGTTTTATCAAAATAAGTCATTCATAACACTTTGTTAACTGAAAGTAAACCATTTGTTGCTGATTAATGCACACACTAATTAGCTCAAATCAACATGTGGCTTTTAACGAAGTAATTCAAGGGGAACCTATTATTGCCTTTAAGTGGTTAATTAATACTAAACTACTAGTAATTAGGTATGAACAAACTCTTGACTTTAGAATGGAGAACATATTCTTGCTTACTAGTTGTTAATTGACTGTTGTTTAGGCTCTATCAACATGTGGAGTTTGGTGTTTATTTACATAATACCAGAACACAATATTTTTGGTTATTAATGCAGAATAACTATTCCCCTTAAATTACTTATTTAAAGTGCAAGTCACCCCCTACCAGAGTATCACTCCTCTCCCACTTCCTGTTTGAAAAATGCTGTTGCTTAGCAGACCGAGAGGGCGGAGTCACTAGCAAACACACACACACACAGGCTCACAACGACATTGTGACATCATATGGTACCAGCTAACGTTCTAGAGTACCTCTTATCCATTAGCGATGGCAGATTTAAATTCAAATGCAGTGCAAAGTTTTTACCTGACAACGGCAGAACACTGACGGTTTTAGGCAGAAAATTTGAATTTTAACTAAAATGCACTAAAGTGCAAAACTATTGACTACACGTGTCCGCAGCATGATTAGACACACATTTATATAGTTTATCAGAAAAAAATGTTGATTTTGGGGGTGACTTGCTCTTTAAAGCCACATATTGATTTGAGCTGATTAGTATGTGTGTTAATCAGCAACAAACCATTTACTTTCAGTTAACAAAGTATTATGAGTGGCTTATTTAGATAAAACTCTTAATTTATGGCCTGTTAATATTAGAATTGCAGCATTGGTAATAAGCACTTAATACTAGCTTATTAATGACTAATTCAGACTTAGTAGTCCACTAATATGGATATTGATTGGCAGCTAATTAATTAATTACCATTCTTTCAAAGTAAAGGTTTATGCAAATATACAAAGAACAGATGATAAAAAAGTATCAACCTGGTTAGTTTATCAAAATAACCTTTTGTCCTTTTTAAATGGACTTTTTAAGCATACGTCAGGAGGTGAGTTAGACAGACAGACAGACAGACATAAATCATTTCATGGGTCTTTAGACAAACAAAAAAGAAGACTTAAAGTGTCTAGTTTGAGCTGTGGCTAAATAAACACCCGTGTGTTGTGACAGATGAGTGAATAGCCATCTCCGTTTGGCCCTGGCACACAGTGACTTACAGCAGACTCCACTTCCTCACTCCCAAACTATGGTGTTTGTTCGTGCCTGGATCCTTTAATGCCCATTGAGCCGGATAATCGAGGACAAAATTGGTGAAAACCAGCAGGGGACATTCTGATAGCCGTGGCTCAAAAGACCTTCTTGTGGATGATTGGAGGAGGCATTAGGACAAAACTGTTTGTGGCTAAAACCAAGCTGTGTTGGTTTTTCTACTCTCTGGATGACAACACCGGAGCTCTACAGCTAAAGCCGCAGCTATCGAATCACTCACAGACCCTCACCTGCAGCTGGAGCATGTGCATTGTCTGTGGTTTTAGCATGACACCAACGTGATGCCTCTTCCACATCTTTACCTCCAAACGGACGTGTTTAAGCTCGTTCTCATCAGTCGTGCAAAACGAACACCTGAAATCTCCCAACAGGTGAGGTTTTCAAAATCAGCCATCAGGAGAAATGGTAAGCGTTTAAAATAACTTGTGTCACGTAGATGTTTGCCGTTAAAAAGTCGTTTCAGAACACCAGACATAGGTTTTCTATCAACCAACAGACCGCATTAGCAAGTCAGAAACCCCTTTAATTATCTCTTTATTCTCATGTGGACGTTATAAGAGCTTTTATCTCTGATCATCTGCTTTAACTGGTCTGAAACGAATGAACCAGGTGTCACTATGACATCCTGATTCGTTTTTATGCAACCTTGTGTTGGAGCTCTTGGCCGTAGTCTATCTGAAAGCCCACGGCCACATGAGAGCCTAAAAAAACATCACATGTGTGTCGTAATGATGAGTTTCAAAGTTGATATGACTTAAACATTTTAACTAAGAGATACAATTTAAATATTTTAGGTTTCAAAGCCATAATTATGACCAGCGAGGTTATATTTGAACATCAGTAACTAGGGATGCTTGATAATGGCTTTTTAACCGATATCTGATTCACCGATGTTGTCGGACACTTCATTTCCGATATGCATAAAAACCAATACTAGTGTATGCTGTCCCCCTCTCATAACAAAATAAAAACTTAAACAATTTAGGTCACTCACATCTCAAATCTTCTATCATGCATGTTTACATTTTAAACCTTTTCTGGGCAAAATGACAACTACTTCAATTAAAGTTAGTAAAAGGAAGTGTTTATTTTCTCTGCAGCAGCAGCTGAATCTCATTCTCCCTAAGTGTGATGCTGAGATGTGTGTATTAGCTAGTAATGCCATTGTTCTTTTCCTGTACGCTGCAGCTATGGTAAAGCGTTTATAAAGCATTTATAAAGTGTTTATAAAGGTCTTATGGTACATAAAGAAAAATAATTTCTCAAATTCATAAATGCAAGTTCAGTTATGATATTTAAAAAGTTATTTCAAAGAAAAATAAAGCCCTAATTATCAAACAAATTCATAATGAAGCCATTCTAATCCCATTTAAAGATTATTGTTTAACACAGCGTAGTAGATTAGTTTTTACCTGTTTTTGCTGACAGCTTTAGGCTAACGCTGTAGCCTTCCTGAGTGCTCTGAGAAAGGCTACTGTGTTGGCCCAAACCTGTCAGCAATAAAGGTAGAAATAAATCTTCTACTACGCTGTGTTTAAAAAAAGAATTAAAACAATGGAAGGTTCACACAGAACAAAGAAAAGATGTTATATGTTTTATAGGTTTCAGAGTCATAATTATGGGATACTGAGTCGTGATTGTAAGTTAGCTAGTAGTATAGCACTTATCACAGACATCGAATCACAAAGTGCTTCACATAGATTAAAACAAAGTCATAAAATCATAATGATCTCAAAAACAGAAATAGATTAACATCAGAGAAAATAAGGTCACAAAATTACAGAATTTCATAAACAGATCTAAGAAGATTACAAATCTGAGTTAAACATGAGAAAAAAAATGATGTAAAAGCAGCTTTAAATAAAAGGGTCTTTAGCTGTTTTTTAAGTGTCAAGACTGTCAATGCTACGTAAGGATAAAGGAAGAACAGCCTGAAAGGAGCGATCACCTCGACTTTTGTATCTGGTCTTTGGAACTTCTAGAAGGTTCTGGTGTGTGGACCTGAGGGCTCGCCGCTCGGGTTGGAGCATACGGCTTTAACAGTTCAGTAATGTAGGGAGGAGCTTGACCATGTAGAGGCCTGAAAGTTCTAGTCAGGATTCTAAAATGAACTCTAAAGTTAACGGGTAACCAGTGTAGAGACATTAGAACAGGAGTGATGTGTGCTCTTCTGTTTGCTCCAGTTAGGAGCCTCGCTGCAGAGTTCTGGACCAACTGAAGGTGGTCCAGGGCTGCTTTTTTGTTAAAACATGTGAAGAGTGTGTTACAGTCATCTAGACGGGAGGAGATAAAGGCATGGAGAACCATTTCAAGTTCATGTTTTGACACCAACCTTCTCAGTTTGGAGCTATTTCTCTAAGTGATAAAAACTGTTTCGGACCAACATTTTTGAGTGACCTTCAAGAGACATTGATTGGTCAAAAACACCCAAATTCCTTAAGTTTGTCTTGAGAGATCTGAGCGCATCTCATCATCAAGGCTTCAAAGTTATAGCGCACTGTGTTGCAGAAATTGGCTTTTATAGAGCTTTCATCGCTGAATCTGAAGTGTGTGTGTGTGTGTGCGTGTGTGTGCGTGCGTGCGTGCGTGTGTGTGTGTGAAGATAACTTCCTGTTGTGAAAACATTCACATGGTCAGAAAGGAAAACATGACAGTAGGTTAAACAAAATGACATCAAACGTTATTATTTAAACTCTCAACAGGTTTAGCTCGCTCTATTCTCCATAGCTTTGAAGTTGCAACAGAAAAACAGTTAGTGAGCTGAATTTTTAATTAAATTGTGTAAGCTATTTAACCCCCCCCCCCCCCAGACATGGCCGAAGTGGATTAACTATCTGCCCTCAGTGTGATAAGATCTCATATAATGGTGATCATGAACACTACAGATTATTATTCTTTCTCATCTACTACCACGACTCTCCAGCTCATAAAACAAGCGTTCTGCCAAATGTCACACAAAGATGGACGATTATCGTCAGCGCCGCTGTCACGGGAATTTATCTGTGTGGTGTAATTTTCAGGCTGGAACAGCAATGAGCACATCTTCAATATTTAATGAAAGCATAAGTGAGGCTTGAGGGTTGTCACTTACGCTTCTGCTCTTAATGACTTGTCACATTATACTTATCGGATTGGGTCAATCTCAGCTGCAATCACTGGTCTCATTTCTTTTTAATTCATTACAAATATTGGATTATTTTGTCTAACTTTGTGCAAACACATCAGCGCTGCATTCTCTAGCTGCTTAATTATGGATTTCTGCTGCCAACTGTGTGCACAAATCTATTAGTTGCAGCACGGATTGGGATAATTCAATCAACACACCTAGAATGTGTTTGTAACTTGGACAAAAAGTGTATTTCATGGCTGAGGAAGCCCCTATGGCTGGTGCCCCACTCTCCCTGGTAATAGTATCTCACAGAGAGCTAGTTGATTGTTTTAGTCCTGGATCACCGGCCACGGGATAAACCTGAGAGCCCAGTCTGCTTTTCATGTCAAAACCTTCAAGGGAAAGCGGCCACAATCCAAGAGCAATCACACTTGAGAGATCAAAGTGCCAGGGGGAAGAGAGGCGAGAGCCGGGCCGCAGTTTTTTCCCATGCAAGCCAAGTGCAACTCAAGCGTGGAGGAAGAGGAGATGATCTAAGACGAGGGTGCCATTGAGAGGAAGACGGAGAGCAGACAGATGTGCATGGGCAGGTAGCAGCACATCACGGCCCCTTCTGGAGACATCAAGAAGACTTCGCTGGTCACATTCCTGCTCGCTGCTCATTCACTGTCCGTTCAAACCGGTGGCAGTCCTGCACTTTAGATCAGTGTCTCAAACAACTGGAAATGTTGCAAGTTAAAGAGCAAAAATGTGTAGTTGCAGCCGGCGGTGATGCCTGAAAAATCTGTGCACGAGTCCACTGGTTCCCCTCATGAAGGCTCAACTTCATCTGGAGTTAAAGAATTATGATCCATCTTCATTCAGACCAAAATATCAATCTCTAGGATAATCTAACTGTTTTGTTGTTCTGAGAATACCTTTCTACTAATTGCCCTGATCAACTCAACAAAAACATATTCATGTGTAGTTTTCTTGTAAACAAATGTTTGTGAACATGAAAGCAGTTAAAGCAGCTGTGATCAAAAACCTCCACCCCTGTAGGATGAATGAAGCCGAGTGTTGTCAGTGGCGCGGTCTACGCTCACCTCTGCACCACTTCCCTGTAAGCTGTCACTCATCTCTGTTCCGCCTCACTGCCAGCCAGCCAATAGGATGCTGGCGCCCGACCAAGAGCTCGAGCTGCAACGACCTGTGTAGTTAGGTGACTGATAACCATAAACAGGGCTTCTGGCTGGTTATAGGACACCATGCAGGTGCAATTAACACATCCAACAGAAAACAGCACTGAAAGATGAGCAGATATGGCCGAGCAGGACACCATTGGATTTATGTACGAATGAGCTGATTATGGGAACTGATGTACAGTCAGGTCCATAAATATATATTTTCTTCACCAGAGAAAGGATTCTTCAGTCATCCACCACAGCTGTTTTCCGTGGTCTTCCGGGTCTTTTGGTGTTGCTGAGCTCACCGGTGCGTTCCTTCTTTTAGAGAATGTTCCAAACTGTTGTTTTGGCCATGCCTAATGTTTTTGCCATCTCTCTGATAGGTTTCTTTTGTTGTTTCAGCCTAATGATGGCTTGCTTCACTGATAGCAACAGATTCCAAATGCAAATAGCACACTTGAAATGAACTCTGGACCTTTTGTCTGCTCATTGTAATTGGGATAATGAGGGAATAACACACACCTGGCCATGGAACAGCTGAGAAGCCAGTTGTCCCATTACATTTGGACCCTTAACAAGTGGGAGGCACATATGCAAACTGTTGGTTGTTCCTACACCGTTCACCTGATTTGGATGTAAATACCCTCAAATAAAAGCTGACAGTCTGCAGTTAAAGCACATCTTGTTCGTTTCATTTGATATCCGTTGTGGTGTATAGAGCCAAAAATGTTAGCATTGTGTCGATGTCCCAATATTTATGGACCTGACTGTACGTTTGTAGACATTCATGAGGTGATGCAGGAACCAAAATATTGCAATGGACACGTTCCAATTTTTAAAGTTAATAAATTGTCACACAAAAAAAAACTCCAGATGAAGGTTTTGGCCTAAACTTTGAAATCTTTCAGTGTCTTGCTTTACATTTTTGAACAATGCAGTAAAGACATCCTGCTTTCAGTCATCCAGTCCAACTAAACGTCTGTTTTTTTTTGTGAATGACAGATTCCAGTGACCCGCCAGTGTGGGCATGCCTCCACCATCTTTATTTATGCTTCACATCCTGCTAAGTAACAAAACACCAGCAGCGCTGGAGGAAAATGGCCTGCCCGCATCCCATCTCCAAACAAGCCTTTGGTCTGAGTGATCGCACAATTATCACCATGGTTAGTTTACCATCAATGGAGACATCCACTTTCCGTGCTCACCAGCACGCCTGCACATTTTTTAGCTTATTTCATCGACTCCATCAAGACGTTTGCAGTTGAAGCCACTTGCACTCAGAAAAAAAACTCACACTTTCATGGAAAAATGGTTTCCATCACGCCTTTAATTTGCTTGTGGAGTGAAGCGCGGGGGCACACACATGACAGACCTTTCGGTTTAATCACAAGCCAGGAGTTATTGGACCCAAATGAAACCTTTAGCTGTTTCACGTTTTGCTCACAATCATATTTGAGGAGCAGAAATATTATTCAGAAAGCTAATTATGGGTTCCTGTGAGTTTTTTTTACTGTTTCAATATTAAACTGATGTAACGATATTCTTTGTTAGCCAGGTAAACCCAGGGGGCTAATGAGAAATTAACCAAAATTTCATTGATTTTTGTTCCAATAAGGTGGCTTACAAGAAAACTCCAGGATTTTAGGGAATTTTATCCTGGAATTTGGAATTTATTTCTTCAAAATGTTTAGTAATCAAGACCTGCTGCACCATGCAGCTGAGGTGTGGTCTGGTCTAACATTTAGCTGTAATGAACTTATTGTTTATTTTTGACTTTACGCCAAACAGAAGAGCAGAATTACTGTAATGATGCGTTTGCTGGCAGCAGAAATGCAAACTAATCTCTATGTTCAAATCTGTGTTTCCAATTTTTTAATTTGAATAGTTACTTATTTTATTTATTTTGACAATGCTTTCTAATTTATGTAGATTTGAACAGAAACATTTAAATAAGCAAATTAATCAGTCAAACTAATACGTTTTGGGGCTTTGCTTCATTTTTTCTTGCATCAATCATAATGTGTCATAATAATTTAAAAAAATCTCCTTTTCTTTAGACGAGTTCTGGTTCAAACACCACAACATCCAGGAAGTGTTACCAGTTCTGATAAAGCTTTCGACTGTTTTTTAATGGGTGAAATTCTTAATCTGTAGGGATTACAGGATGCGTTTCACTAAAAGAGAATGAACAGATGCCAGGAATACAAAGGGAATTTTCAGTATTTTCCGTCAGACGCGGAGATGCTGTTACGTAGTTGCCTCCATGTGGAGAACCTTCATGGACTCTGAGATCACTGAACTGGTGTCGATTTGTCCGTAGATGCCGACCAGAAACGCCTTGTGGAGTAAAATATCAGCGTGTTCTGGAGAGACAAACATCGGAGCTTGGATGAGTCAGAATTACGACACACTTTAGTCTTGTTAAAGCACCCACGTCATGTGGAGTCATGACAGATTTTAAAAACAGTGACTTATAAGAACCATCTTACCCTGACAGAGAAGAGAATATTCTGGAAGATTCCTCAGAGCAGTCTGCACCACGTCAAAGTTCCCGCTACCCATACAGTACATGAAAGTCGGCAGGAAGTCTGTAGCCAAGCTGCAACGAAAATAAATAGATAAACTGACAAGAGAACTACAGTAACCAGCAGTGAGTGGTACGTCTGTGCTAAAGCTACCGGGGATTGTTCTGGATGCAGCGCAGGGCCAGGCTGAAGGCCATGTTCCGACTCAGCTCCTCAGATGAAGTCATGAGTCTCTGCAGATCGTTCTACAGAAGGCAGAGCAGCTCGGTGAATAACGCGCTACACGCCAACATGCACTCTGCCCGACTCTGGCTCATGACTCACCGTGAAGTACTGGATGATTTCTGGGCTCCTCCTTGACTTCTCATCCACTTCTGTCAACACCTCCAACACATCTACAGCAGATGGGGCAAAGTCAGCATTATTAGTCATTACAGATAAAAGAGTTCAAATCCCGGATAAACCGCTGCAGCAGGTCACCCTCCACTGCTTCTCCTTTTGACATCTTCTTCGAGTACAACGCCATGTCGGCAGCGCTCAGAGAAAACGACGCAGATATGTTGACCAGAGGCAGGGAGCCAGCAGACAAATCATCTGCAAAAAAACAGAGCCAAATGTTTAGTTAAAGCTGGAGTAGAAACTCTGCTCCACACAGCACACGGGTGGGTGCTACGGAATAGCTTTTTAGCTTCATTGCTGTAAAAGTTCATCACATCTTAACAGGAGAGGGTTTTAAAATCTGCACAGAGGAATAAAAGTTAACAGCTCCACGTGTGTGCTCACCACCTCGCTCTTCTGTTGTAACCTCCGCAGAAGAGCGTTTCACTGGCAAAGTGAGACCAGCAAGCAGAGACTTCAGCTGGACCAGGTCCGGGTTCTCTGCACACAAATTCCTGAAGAAGAAAAATAAATAATTAAATAAAATAAACAAAATTGTTTCTTTTTTCATTAAATCATACAAGGAATGACCCTTTGAAGACGTGGGATGGTGAAATTCTATCTTCGAGATGCAGCTTTGACTCACTGTAAGATATCAGAATGCTTTTGCAGGTACGGAATAGCCGCTGCTGCGTCGTGTGTGATGTAGTTTTGAGTGAACTGCAGAAACTTGTTGATGAAGATGAGTGGAGAACGACTCCTCTGGAAGTTCTACGAAATAAAACACGCATAATCACATCAAACTTTCATTCATGGCTGATTAAAACAAGCTGCTACATTTTGAAATCCCTGACTGCGTTCGAATCCCAGTGAGCACCTGAAGGACTTTCATGACAGACAGGAGGCAGTCTTGAAGCGCCCTCTGGTGGTCACTGTAGAAAACCAGCGGCTGCAGAAGCTCCAAGATGGCAAGCACGTTGCTAAAGAAGGTCATGTGGTTCTGCTGCCTGAACTCCTGCATGTTTAGGTGAACCCGGCCGTGGAGGAGTCCTGCAATCATGGGAAGGTGTCTGGAAGGGGGAAAGGAAAAGAGCAAGCTGGCATTAAACTAAAGATCTAGCAAACGCACTGTGTGTGTGTGTGTTATATTCGGTTTAGGTCTGCTTTTTAGATTTTTTTGTGCCGCCATTGTTCAAATAAACCTAAAAAAAGCAAACGTTGTGGTTTGGACGAAGTTATTTAAGAACTGAAGCCTAATCTGTACTAGGGCTGAGCGATCTATCGTTTTTGGACCGAAATTGCGATTTCAAACAGCACGATCACGTGACTGTCAAAGCTGAGGGTTTTTTTAGCGGTTCTGACTGATCCAGGGTCTGTTGCGTCAACTTTTTTTTAACACATGGAGCTGATGGCAGCATGAACTAGGCTTTACAGCGGAGTGTTAGTGAGGAAAATCTATCAGAAGGCTTCAAAAGCTGTGCAGCCGGCCTGCCTTGGTAGTGCAGGGAAAACTGTGCATTATTTGTTATGTAAAACATTTGAAAGTTATTTCAACCTTCAGATTTCCTCCATGCATTTTTGGAGTAGAACAAGATGATTTTATTTTATAAAGCACCTCTCTAGTTAAAAATCACAAGTTTCTTCACAAGCACATTAAAAAATAAAAAGATATAAATATAATAATGGGAGAAAATATTCATATCTTTAACTGATGATTAGAAAGTAAATATTAATGTGATTGATTTGTTGTACTAAATAAGATTCTAGAACACATACACTTGTAAAAAATATAATATAATGGCTCTACTGAGTGTCCCGTTATTTCTAAAACTCTGATTTTTCTCTGATAGAGTGATTGGAACAGATACTTCTTTGTCACAAAAAACATTCATGAAGTTGGGTTCTTTAATGTCTTTATTATGGGTTAACAGAGAAAAGTGATCACATTTGCTGGGTCACAAATATACATACAGCAACATGAACCTGCAATTTTGGTGACTTAGAAACGTGTCAGTGAACTGAGCTTCATAGCATGGCCTCTTAACTTCTTGTGAGTGATTATGAGTGACTACAGCGGGTGACTTCTCTTAGGCCAGGTAAATAGGGCTCATTGGATACAAACGCCCACAAACGCTACAGTGGGAAAGTCAAAGGAGCTCAGCATGGATCTGAAAAAGCAAATTATTGACTTGAACAAGTCAGGAAAGTCACTTGGGGCCATTTCAAAGCAGCTGCAGGTCCCAAGAGCAACAGTGCAAACAACTGTTTTTAAGTATAAGGTGCATGGCACTGTTTCATCACTGCCAAGATCAGGAAGAAAACGCAAGCTATCACCTGCTGCTGAGAGAAAATTGGTCAGGAGGGTAAAGAGTGAACCAAGAATCACCCAAAAGCAGATCTGCCAAGAATTAGAAGCTGCTGAAACACAGGTGTCATTGTCCACAGTCAAACGTGTTTTGCATCTCCATGGACTGAGAGGCTGCCGTGCAAGAAGGAAGCCCTTGCTCCAAAAGCGGCACCTTAAGGCTCGACTGAAGTTTGCTGCTGATCACATGGACAAAGATAAGACCTTCTGGAGGAAAGTTCTGTGGTCAGACGAAACAAAAATCCGAGCTTTTTGGCCACAATGCCCAGCAATATGTTTGGAGGAGAAAAGGTGAGGCCTTTAACCCCAAGAACACCATGCCTACAGTCAAGCATGGTGGTGGGAATATTATGCTGTGGGGCTGTTTTGCTGCCAGTGGAACTGGTGCTTTACAGAGAGTAAATGGGATAATGAAGAAGGAGGATTACCTTCACATTCTTCAACATAACCTCAAATCATCAGCACGAAGGTTGGGTCTTGGGCGCAGTTGGGTGTTCCAACAGGACAATGACCCCAAACAGACATCAAAAGTGGTAAAGGAATGGCTAAATCAGGCTAGAATAAGGGTTTTAGAATGGCTTTCCCAAAGTCCTGACTTAAACCCCACTGAAAACATGTGGACAGTGCTGAAGAAACAAGTCCATGTCAGAAAGCCATCAAATTTAACTGAACTTCACCAATTCTGTCAAGAGGAGTGGTCAAAGATTCAACCAGAAGCTTGCCAGAAGCTTGTGGATGGCTACCAAAAGCGCCTAATTGAAGTAAAAATGGCTAAGGGACATGTAACCAAATATTAGTACTGCTGTATGTATATTTGTGGCCCAGCAAATGTGATCACTTTTCTCTGTTAACCCATAATAAAGACATTAAAGAACCAAACTTCATGAATGTTTTTGTGACAAAGAAGTATCTGTTCCAATCACTCTATCAGAGAAAAATCAGAGTTTTAGAAATAACGGGACACTCAGTAGAGCCATTATATTATATTTTTTACAAGTGTATGTAAACTTCTGACCACAACTGTATGTCAGACTCAAGGCCGAGCATTTTTATGTGGCCCGCGAGATAAATATCAAAAATATATTAAAACTGGCCCGCTGGCCGATTTTACCGCAAAGACTTCAACTCCCATGACGCTTTGCGGCGTTAGCGCGGAGCCGACGCGCCCCCTCTGTGTTTTTCAGCGCCTGCTGCCGGTGTCTGCAGCTACGCTGTCTCGGACAAACACTCCTCTCACTCAGCGCCGAGTTCACTCAGCTATTTTCTGATGTTGAAGCCCAGAAACGGAGATTCTAGCTGCTCAGTAATGTGTTCACGACTGAAAGAGAAAGTTTTCCAACTAACGTCCAGACAGAGCCGATATAACTCCAGCGAGCAGCGACACGCTCAAACCAGCACGACTCTGTGGTTGTGTTTCCCCCCGACACACAACAACGTGGTCAAGCTGCTCAGACATGTTCAGCAGCACAAACCTATGTGAGCACCTGTTGTCATCTAATGTTGTCGTTATTATGATGAAGATGAACAAAACAACAGGAGTCTCCTCCTCAGCTCAGATCAACCCCATGATGCAGGTATCTGGCTGGAACAGGTGAGCATCGCAGTAAACCAGTGGAGCAAACTGAGCTTTAAATATGTTGGTTTTATGCTCTTTTTCTGCTCCAAAACATGAAAGTTAACAGGTGAGATGTTGTATTTTCATTTAAGATAAAATGATATTTTTATTTTGTTGTTGGATCGTGAGAAAAGATTTAACCTACAGTAAACAGGAAGTGGAAAGGCTGCAGATAGATGAATAGAATAGAAAATCCCTTTATTGTTCCTCAGTGGGGAAAGCTAGACGTCACAGCAGCGATGACGCGTATTACAGGAGAAAGAAAGGAGAATAAAAAATAAGAAAAATGAATAAACAAGAAAACATAAATCCTGAATAGATTTTAAAATGCTGATTATACCACAAGTAATGAATACCACTGATGCCTTTTATTTAAAACTGACGTGCTCGTGTGTAATTTGGTTATTCCACATTCAGTGTTAATGCAGAAATAAGTTTGTTTCCAAATTGAAAGGTTCAAAATTGCATATATGTTGATAAAGAAAATGTGCAAATTTGCCGTCACTTTTTCAAAAAATATTAAGTTTGGCCCTCGACTCCGTCCCAGAGTTTCATTTCGGCCCCGTGTGAGTTTGAGTATGACTCCCCTGCTCTAGAACTTTATATTTAATTAATATACGGGGTGGCTTGGCAGGCTAGTGTTGTACCTTTGTTTGAAGAAAATCGTGAATCGAACTGAAATCGCAATTTTTGCTAGAGCGTTCAGCCCTGATCTGTCCTAAGTTTGAACCTACCTGAGTAACAGAACTGGGTGTGAAACCGCGAGCTTCCTACAGGCCAGATTAGCATCAGACACACGACCTTCAGCAGACTTGGAGTCTCCGACGTCAGCGAGCAGTGTGACGAGGCGGTGGACCAGGACGTCGAGCTGAGGGAGAGATAGATGCAGTGAGAACTCGGTCATGAGACGGATGATGGGGATTGTTGTAGTAACTGATCGGTCTGTGTTTGGGATTCAGTTCATGACTGCCGCTCAGAGCAAATCAGTGATCCAAGCTACTTGGAATGGTTACAGAACATTTTAGTATCCTTCTGATGCAAAAACTCAAATCACCCCAGAAAAAGTACCTAAACAGAAAGTCGTAAAAATACTTGAATAAAAAGCTAAACTTTATTTACTATTACTTTTACATTATTATTTTATATTTTTATTACAACAATCCTTTTAACCAATGTTTCCCCAAATGATGAAAAAGATGCCAACATATTTTCTCGCTAGGGATGTCAGATATTATAGGCCAATATTAGCGTTAAATATAGGAAATTATCAGCTTGAGCTTTTTTAATACGTCCATGCACATCTTATACACCAGACTCCTCAGCTTCTTCTCCTCTCACTCAAAATGTTAAAATGTGACAGATGTGAGGTTTAGTGCTCCAGATGTGTTGTGTTTGGTACAACTGGCCAACTTGTCCTACTTTGCAAAGATAATGTTTAAAATTTGAGAATGAATGATGGGTGATATGTGATGTTAGCTACCTACAATTATTGAGTTATTCAGGGGCTTTTGTGTGTGTGTGTGTGTGTGGGGGGGGGGGGGGGTATTGGTATAGAGCTCCGGACGTCACGTGACTCTCAGAGAGTAGACGCCATGTTGGCAGGCAACAAAGGTAAACAAAAGGAACGGGAGCGGCTTGCATTTTACTCCGTCGGAGTTTACTCCATACTTTAAAACCGAAGAAATGGTTTTATATCGTCAGAAATTAAATAGATTAAACATCTCCGACCCCTACCGTGCCCCTGGGATACTTTTTAAAACGCCAGAAGCTGTCGGAGCGGACTTCTTACCGGATTTGAGATGCCCTGACATTTATAGTTTATAAAACTAATTAAACAAAAACACAAATAACAGATTTACATGTAAGTAGTTTAAATAGAGTGCTGCGCTGTTTGAATGTATAAACTGAACGCCAAGAGAAATCACTAGTCTGATTTTTTCCGTGAATAAAGTAAATATGTCAGGCAGGAGCGTCTCAGGATCTGTCTGAGATCTGTCTCGGTGAGACAGATAATAGCAATCCAAAGTGCTTTTTATGTGTGATCTGACAATTGATCAACCATTCAGGGTATATACAGCAATCCTTAAGTAAAATTTACTACTTTTTAATACTTTTTTTTACTACCTTCAGAATTTTTTTAAAACCATCACAACACTTAATTGCAAGTGTTAATCAGCGACCTATTTACACATATTTTAACATATATAACATACAAAAAGAATAGACTTAGAGACTCACTGATGTTGACAACGTATTGCACATATTTATTTTACTTAGAAAATAAGCCAGGCACTTCTGTTCAGCGGTCCAGACAGTTGACCACGAGGTCTGAAATGATGCAGAACGACCACTGAATATGACGTCATCATTATGTGACCGGATATGCTAAAGTAGGGCTGCTCGATTATGGCAAAAACAATAATCACGATTATTGTGACTGAAATTGAGATCTCGATTTTTTAAGACGATTTTTCAATTCATGTAGATTTTTGTTTTTGTTTTTATTCAGTCATAAAACTGCTCAGGGCACAATCAGGGCAAAAATAAACAAGAAGCAAGATGATCACTAAAATAACTCCCGATTCCCAGTATAAAAAGACCAATGTACTTGTGGCAAGGTGGATAAATGAGAGCCCAGGCAGGATTCGATCCCCAGACTCCCAGGTGAGAGTCATACTCTCTAACCAGTCAGCCAAAGAGACATCCCGTTGGCCAAGTAGCCAGGACGCATAATCTATCGGGACACTGTGACAGGACACTCACACTGCCACATACTTATAGCTCATAGTTTATGATCCAAGGGCTATAGACCTTGGTTTAACTCATTTAAGTCTAACCAGTACAGACCCAAATACCAATATCTTGCAAATACTGACAACAAGAATTATACAGTGGCATTTATAACAAATACATGCAAATTGATGTTCACAAAATGTTGCATAACATTTATTGAGTCCTGTCAAGGTGCTCTAGGAGCGTGCACTAGCACCGTGTCCTCAGAGAGATTAGTTATTAGTTATCAGCGTGAGGAACTCATTTCTACCTTATTTATAAACTATTTATTTACAAGTCGTCCATCAGTTAATGTAATAATTGTCACAACCACAGCTGCACCCCCCACCCCCCAACCCGGTCTCAAAGCTATCAGGGGCAAGCTGCACGCGCCGCACGCGCACATTTAGCCGTTTTTAGCGGCTCAGGAGTCCGCAGGTACGGTGTGTGTGTCACTCACTCTGGTTAATCCAACAAGAAGCCGGCTCCGAGAGCTGTCTTTAGCGACTATCATTCCCTTTCCTAATGTCCTGAAGAACGGTCCGCAGCGCAGGCGGAGTGTTTAGCTAACCTGCAGGAAACGTCGACGACAGTTATCCAGAAAGTAGCTAAGGGTTACCAGAGATGTTTCTGAGGTGTTCGCTAGGTACTTTTAAGATTTAAAAAGTCAAGAAGGGGGTCTGAGAAGCTGTTGGAAATAGCGTCAAAGTCGCTAAGTTGGCAACACTGTGAGGAGCGCTTCATTTGCAACTCAGGGCAGCGCAAGTGGGAGGAGCACATAATCGGCTTGTTTTGTTTTTATAATCGTTCATAATATTTCATTCGGAATATATTTCTATGTCGATGTTCAGAATACGACACCTGATAGTCCGAAAAAATTAATACCTAATTTGGAAAAAATAATACCTCTGTGACCAAATTTAACACTTTTAATGGCCTTAAATTTGACTATTTTTATTTATCACTTTTTAATACTTTTTAAAACCCCGCGGACACCCTGCCATTGCTTAAAAGTTAAATACAGCTTAGCCGGTTAATTGCTGTGATCATAAAACACGGAAACGGCAGCACGCAGAAATCACGAGGCAACGTTTTACGTGATGTTTACTTGCTGCTATGAGTAATAAGACAGAAAAAGCCACGCCAAAATAAGTTTAGGAAGCCCACTAAGAAACGTAATAAAAACATTTAAAATAAATACCACACACAGTCGAGGAAACGTTGGTTTAAGTACCTGATATGAAGTGGTCGCAGCATAAGTGAAAACCTTTACTCTCGGGATCCCAGTTTCATTTTAGCCCGGTCACTAGCGTGTTTTATTACAATGATCCAACGTTTGCGGCGCTCTGGATCTTGGGGAATCCTGTAGATGGCTCATTCCTTATGTCGTCCGTGTCTGTTCTGCATCCTGGGGCAAAACAGGAATCTACCTTATTTCCCGTCTGATCGAGGTTTCTGACTAACAAATAATCTGGCTGCGCCGCGGGCTTCTGCCTGCCAAGATGGCGCCGTTCGATTTGAACTGTTGCATGCCGGGAGAAGCGACGTCAACTCCCGGAGCTCTATAGGCTTATATTGGTATTTAAAATTAAGAGCTAGTCAGTATCGGTATTTCAGTAAGATGCTGATACCAATAATCCTCACTTTTTAGTAGTAGTGGACTGAACGACATCCGCTGCTGCTTGTTTTTGAGGATAGCTAAGATGTTTAGAAATGGTCCTGCTAGACCCTGTCTGCTACTCAGACAGTAACAAGTTTACTGAGGGATCGGTGCAGCGTGGAGCAGGTTGGGCACCATCACCTTGCAGCTGCTGCCGTCTGCAGCCCCTCCACTGCTGAAAGTTCCTGATGGCAGGGTGACATGCTGGATGACTTCTGGAAAGTGCAGATAAATCTGCAGCAGCAGGTTCTGGCACCGCATACTCATTGGACTGTGAGACAAAGACAAAAATAAGCATGTGATATGTTATCTTAACGCTAACACAATAAGCTTAATAATAAGAGGTTTTTCATTCACAGCAGCTAGCCGATCCGCTGGCGTTGTTAAACTCAATCCTCCTAAGCAGGCTTTACTGATGGGATCAAAGTAGATTTTTAGTCATTTTTCAAACTAAATATTATAAAAACTGATGTTTAATCAGAGTTTATGGCACAACAAAGCTATCCTCTATTGTTTTTGTCCACAAAACCAATAATTAAAGTTCACTAGTACAAACTACAGATATAATGTAATTCAGTGGTATTTGCATTGAAGTCGGTGCAGCTTTTTAAAATCCTCTTACTGCTTAAGGCTCTTGTCAGACTCTAGAAAATGAAGAGGTTCTTACAGTTATGCTTTTAAGCAAATCAGAGCGACCTTGAACAAGAGCAAAGAGTTGGCTGCTTGTTCAATAGTTTGAGTGTAATTGGAATAAACAGCAGCTTATCTGACAGCGAGCGCTCGCTGTGAGAGAGCTTAACTGGGATGTTTATTCAACAGGAGGCCAGAACCTTTTACTTTCTGCGCGTTTTTATCCTGCCATGGTTCCACTCGCGGTCGTTTTACCAGAAAGCTTAAAATGCTGTAATTCTGAAGCTAATTTTGCCTGACCTTGGCCAAAGTTTCCTCATTAGGGTGGTTTAATAAGCAGAGATGCATTCATGAAAGGAGGGTTGGGCTCCACAAAGAGTTGCACCCTGATCTCTGACAGCTCAGTCAGAGCAGGAAGTCACAACACAGGCAAGTTTAGAGCTTCAGCCTTAATCCTCTTGCCTTCATTATAATTCACTGAGCTTTTAAAGAGATCAGAGCACAGACGCCTTCTGCTGGTTTTAATTTCACACCAATAGACCTCATTATCGGGTTTTCCCGGGTCCAGCGCTGTGGGTGACAGTGGAAGTCTGAGAAGTTCGCCTGGTGCGTTTTAGCCGGAGTCCGTCAACACAACAAGAAACAAAACAACATTTGGGATATGTCATGGGAAACAGACAGCACACCATTTCTGAAAATAAAAGCAACCTTCTCCAACACACCTGCAGGACTGAGGGTCACTGAAGATCCAGATGTGCAGCTGAGTGTAAAACTGGTACATGTTTTATTTTCTTATTGCAGAAGGTAGGGCTGCTCAGTTATGGCAAAAACAATAATCACGATTATTGTGACTGAAATTGAGATCTCGATTATTTAGGACGATTTTTCAATTTATGTTGATTTTATTTATTTTTATTCAGTCATAAAATTGCTCAGGGCACAATCAGGACAAAAATAAATAAACAACAAGATGATCACTAAAAGAACTCCTGATTCCCAGTATAAAAAGACCAATATACTTATAGCTCATAGTCTATGACCCAAGGGCTATAGACCTTGGTTTAACTCGTGTAAGTCTAACCAGTACAGACCCAAATACCAATATCTTGCAAATACTGACAGCAAGAATTATACAGTGGCATTTATAACAAATAAATGCAAATAAATTGATGTTCACAACATGTTGCATAACATTTATTGAGTCGTGTCAAGGTGCTGCAGGAGAGTGCACTAGCACCGTGTCCTCAGAGAGATTAGTTATTATTTATCAGCGTGAGGAACTTATTTCTACCTTATTTATAAACTATTTATTTACAAGTCCATCAGTTTATTTAATAATTGTCCCAACCACAGCTGCACCCCCCACCCCCCAACCCGGTCTCACAGCAATCAGGGGCAAGCTGCACGTGCACATTTAGCCGTTTTTAGCGGCTCAGGAGTCCGCAGGTACGGTGTGTGTCACTCACTCTGGTTACTCCAACAGGGAGCCGGCTCTGAGAGCTGTCTTTAGCGACTGACACATCACAACATCATTCCCTTTCCTAATGATGTGAAGAACGGTCCGGAGCGCAGGCGGAGTGTTTAGCTAACCTGCAGGAAATGTCGACGACAGTTATCCAGAAAGTAGCTAAGGGTTACTAGAGATGTTTCTCAGGTGTTCGCTAGGTACTTTTAAGATTTAAAAAGTCAAGAAGGGGGTCTGAGAAGCTGTTGGAAATAGCGTCAAAGTCGCTAAGTAAGGAGCGCTTCATTTGCAACTCGGGGCAGCGTGAGTGGGAGGAGCAAATAATCGGCTTGTTTTGTTTTTATAATCGTTCAAAACTCAGATCGTAATCGTGATTAAAATTCGATTAATTGAGCAGCCCTAGCAGAAGGGCTTGCAACACGTTCATTAGCTTCTGTATTCTCTACTTCGCACACATGCTAAAGCCAAACCTGATCATGCATGGAAGAAAGTTTTATTGTTGGCTCTTCTCGTTCATCCGGTTGTTTTAAATGAACCTCAACTTAATTCTTTAGAGGAGTTTCCTGTCTCAGGCTGCAGGAGTGAGGTGCTTAGATATAAGAATGTGTGCAAACATCTACTTTAATTCCAGCTGTTCGACCAGAATGAAGACCGCTGTACTGAAGAGCACAAGAGCAGAATCAAATCCTGCAGCTGACAACAATAAGTGCCTTAACCTATTTACCTGTCCTCCCACTTCTTGGTGCAGTTGATGAGGTATTCTGATACTTTCTTGATGTTATCCAGAGCTCCATCGCAGTAGGAGTGAAGGAGGGGCAGTCTGGACTGGATGAGGGAACAGGAGGCCTGGTCCAGGCAGCTTTTACCTTCTTTAGCCGAACTGTTGAGCTCCGACTCAGACAAGATCAGGTCCACCAGGCTGATGAGCTCCTCTGAGCTCAGTCGAAGGACAAACTTCTCCGTTTTCTTCTACATGTGTAAAAAAAAAAATTAAAAAGACCCATTTGATCTGCAAATATGACTTTCTTTGATGTGATTTTATTAGAGATGAAGAAACTCAGTAGGGAGAACCCAAAGCTGAGATCGTACTTGAGGGATCTTCTGGTCACGGCCCTGCCAGATGCGAGGAATGTGGCTACACGCCCAGAGGAAGTCCAGAGCTGATGATGGATCTAGTCTATTAAAAGAAAGTGATCAGAAATTCGAACCATAAGGAAATTTTCGGGTTTTTATTTTTATTTTTTAAGTGAAATCACGTACTTGTAATCTCGGTGTTTGGCGAGAAGAGCGCTGATGCACTGCAGCAGAGTGGACCAGTTAGACTGATGAGTAAGCAAAGCCAGAAGATACGGTCTGTAGGCGGGGGTGCCTCGAGCCTGAAGCAAACACCAAACTGTAAGAGAGAGGAAATCCCCGCGGCGGCAAGTAAAAGGACCCAACACTCGTCTCACCTTGTTGAGAGCGAAGAGCAGCTTCTGCTGAAGGTCGGAGCAAACGGCAGTAACCTCAGGGTCCAGATGCTCCAGCCAGTCCACCAGCATCCCAGAGTTCAGTCCTGATTTTGCTACCTCAGAGCCGCTGGAGGAAAAAAAACCTGAAGGGTTACTTTGTTAGAAAGGTGGATCTGTATCTGTTCATTTCAGATCCATCAGCGTTTTCCACGCGAGTTCAAACACAACTCTCACCTCTTTGCATCTACTTCCTTTTTCACTGCTCGCTCCTCACTTTCCTTAAGGAGCAAAGATATCACCATGGCAACAGGGCCGGCCGTCCCGTTCTGAGTACCAACGGTCATCAGCAGGGACAGCAGCTCCTCCAGATGCGGTGACCTGACCTCCATCAGCCCTCGCAACACTGAAACAACAGCAGTGGACTCTGGGTAACAGCTCAGCTCAGTCGGAGCTAAACAGGGTTACGGCACTTCCATCCGTTTCATTTAATATCCAATAAAACTGCTTTTGTCTTTGTAACTGCGGGACTCTTCAAACCTCATAAGGTTTATATGTTTATAAAGAGATATACATCTCAGGGCTTGTGTTAACCAGATAGTTTCCATATTTAACGTTTTTTGTTTGTTTTTTTAGGGTGAGGGAAAAATCCGAAGGCCGTCACGTATATTGACAGATTGTAATTAACACCCCGACTCATGCAGGTGCGCAGACATTTTATACGTAACTCACTGAGAACATCGCAGACGTAACAAAATCCATCAAGAAAAGCCTCCCATCAGAGCATCGTCTCACACACGGTCACAATTCTCAGCACATCTCACTTTTGACAGCACACAAGTGAACAGGACACTGAAGAGCTGTGGACAGGAGCTCGACGAGCGTCTGTGACTTATAAGTCACGGGCCAGCACCGCCGGAGGACCTCCTCCAACTGAAACAAGTGCTGTCCAGCTCTGCTCACCCTTCCAGAGAGTCCCGCAGACTTCTAGTTAATTCATTTGGAGAAACTTTCTCGGATTTTAAAGCTTCGGCTGTAGTAGCGCTCGTTATTCCCATCTGCAGTGTGGTAGTGGAGAACTGATTCATCCTCTAGAACACTTAAACAACCAAGAGTGTGTCAGAGACTAAAGTCCAGAACCTCATGACCACTGCCTCTTCAGCAAGCCCCCTAGAGACGTTAGATTAGGGCCGAACCATTAGGCACAAGCAGGTGACTAGGTCAGGTTCAGAGCAGAAGGAAGGTATGCGTTTGGAACGCCTCGGGTGAAAAGTTCCTACTTTAAGTGCAATTATTTATTTCCTTGTAATATGTTACTGTGGTAATCTAAATCAATGTTTCCCAACCCTGGTCCTCAAGGACCACTGTCCTGCTTGTTTTCCATGTTGCCCTTTTAAACGCCAGTGTTGCCCTGCTGCCACACACCTGACTTCAATGAACGAGTGATTAACAGGCATCTGCAGCACTTGATGTCCTCCTGAGGAGCAGAGACCCTGAGGACCAGGGTTGGGAAACACACCTCTATATATATTAATTGTATTATTGGAAATTAAATAGAATAGAATGTTGAACATCTTAGGTGTGTTCTTGCTGTGCGTTATTTCTAATTCCATGTTGTCGTTCTTTTATAAAACACAGAAACGGTTTTGTTACCTGTTATTGACGCTACAGTTTCGCCGGCTTCTTCAGGCTGACGCTGGCGCGTCACTTCCTTCTCCGTTTATCTGCGGGCAGCAGATGAGAGCAGCCACTGCCCGCAGATGAATGGAGAAGGAAGTGACGCGCCACCATCAGCGTCAGCCTGAAGAAGCCGGCAGCCGTTGGCGAAACTGTAGCGTCAATAACAGGTAACAAAACCGTTTCTGTGTTTTATAAAAGAACGACAACATGGAGAATAGAATGTTTATTTATCATTATTTTAAAAATGAAATGTGACAAGAAAAAAATCCATCACGAACTGTGTGTGTGCGTGCGTGTGTGCGTGCGTGCGTTAAAATTTGAGATTTCCTTCAGCTCCACTGATACCTTTGCTGATGAGCTCAGCTTCTGCGTTGCATCTCTCCCCGGCTTTCAGCATCGATAAGACGGCTCTTAGTGGCACCTCTGAGTCTCTACCATACACCAAAGCCTCAGCCAGGTGGATGAAACCTGTACGCACTGCAGCACACACACACACACACACACACACACACACACGCACACACATTACTTGTTACTCATGCAGAAATACACCAATCACAGGAGACAAACTGTGGGAGGCTCACCATCACTGTGTCGGTGTTTAACGGTGCTCTGACCAGCAAAAGACTTGAGCAGCGTCTTCAGTGGTCCTCCCTCCACAGCTGGGCTGTCCAACCACCTCAACATCTCGACAATGACTTTGAGGAAAAGCGAAGAGAACGCCACATCCTGGGATACAAGTCGCTGGAAAGAATGAAAGGTTAAAAAAAGAGGCTTAATGAAGCACAATAAGCTATTATGAGCTGGCTGCTCACCTGGTAGAGGTGTAGCTGGCGCATCAGAGGGCAGGAGAGAGCGTGGCAGCGGTGCATCGACATGACAATAGGTCCTGCATGGGCAGATGTTAGCAGAGCAGCGATGGCCTGCAGGAGACAGAAGGCCAGAGCCCTCTGCTGGAACTGGCCCTGCTTGGCCCGCATCAGCTCTCTGGCCAAGGCCTGCTGCAGCGCCAGAGACAGCTGACTGGGGGGAGGGCCGTGCCAGCGAGGGTCCGCTTTTGGGGGGAAGATCTGGGACAATAAACGAACAGCGGTGAATTTTAAAAAAATAGAAAGCTTGGGGATGCTCAACTTAAAAAGGAGAAATGAGGCAGAACAGAAGGCATTACTTGAAGCAACATGCCAGTGAGATCATCTTCAGGTCCCACTGCAGGAAGCTGAGTGGCTGCTCTCATCTTCACTGAATCATGAGGTGCCTCCAGTGGAACTTTGGCTTTGTTTGTCTCCGGTGAGTCTGTCAGAAACGTATTTGCGTAAAACAAATGTTAAAACCATCTACTGTTCATTAAAGCCCTGCGCCGTCTCAGAGTAGACACACAAATAAAAAAAAATCAACTCACTAACTGAAACTCAGCAAGTCACTGACCTTTGAGAGGAGGAAGAGAGGAGCTGAGTAAAGCATGGAAAGTATGCCCCCCTGTGGCTCCTCGCTCATGCTGCACCTCAACCAAGTGAGCCATGTAGTCTGTAGCAGAGGACGAGCGGGTTATTCTGCTGAAGGGAGCTATGCTAATGCCTTTAAACAAAACTCAAATCAGGTCTATCTTACGCTTGTCCATGATATTTTGCTCCAGGGCGTCTGGATCATGAGAGACAGCCTGGTCCAGGTACTGCAGAAGTTTACTCATGCTGGAGACGGGAATACCGAAGGACTGAACGAACAGCAGCAGCTGCTGAGGCTCCAGATCATGTAGAGCTGAAGGAAACACGTTCATTAGCCCATTAACAAAAACTAAAGCCATGACAGGTACTTTTTGGGTCCTTTGCACGAAATCATACCTGCGTCTACCAATCGAGAGACCTCTGACCGGATCATCCTCAGCTTCAACCAGTCGGGTAGCAGAAGAGCCTCCTCTGACGTGTCGACCAGGAAGGCGGTCGGCAGAGGTTTCTTCTCAGGAAACCAAATATCCAGGAGGGCATAGAAGTCACTCTCCCCTGTGAAAACCCAGAGTGGCAAACATGTACTCCCAGCTTCTTGAACCACGCTAACTCTAATGGGAACTGGAATACCTTTAGGTGGCCCCAGCGTCAGCAAGATGACCATGGCGTGGACCACAAGAATGTGCATCGTAGCGGTTTCCCCTGTTGTCCAACGCAGAAACACTTGGTCCTGAGACTCCGACTGGAAAACCAAAATCCAAGCTTGTTCAGAGAGTCTGAATCACAAGAAACAAAAGAGTTTATTCACACACTGCTGCTAATCTGGGCTGGGCTCACCCAGCTGTACAGATCCTCGCCCTCCTTGGTCTTCCTCATCCTCTTGATGTAGGCAGAAAAGATGGTGAGGAAAGCCGAGAGCACGGCATCAGACTCGGGCCTGCTGCAGTGTTTGGAAAACAAACTGTTCATGATGGTGGAACGCTCCACGATCAGCCGGGCGATGTCCTTCAGGACAAAAAAGGAGAGAGGAGAAATAATCTGTCAGGACCGCTCCGCGCTGTTAAAATCTTAGCGACTTGCTGCGATTACCAGTGCAAGGTCGTTATGAGCGGCCTGTTCTTCTACCGGTGCATGCTGGGAAAGGTAGATGAGGTAGGCACTGATGGTTTGAGGATCTGTTTCCATGTGAATGGCCTGTGAAAAGCAGATTCAAGATCAAATATAAAAGATTTTACACACAAATCGAGTTGCTGCAGAGACGGGCCGACCTGCTGCAGGGCGGTGGATGTCATTCCTCTGACGCTGTCAAACAGGGGCAGCTTCGGAAGGTCCTGCAGCAGCCACTGGTAACCCGGCAAGAGTTCAGCATCTGCAGAGTCCTCCTCCATGGGCTGGTCTCGTTCCTCGCCATCCTTCAAACCTCCTTCGGTGAGCACCAGTGACAAGCCCTGCACAAAAGCATGCAACATATCTGAGTCAGTGTCGTTTCTACAAACACAACACTGCTACTTTCTGTTTGTCTGTGTCCTGCATGTGCGACAGCACCTTCATGGCTAGCACTCTTGACGCCACTTGAGAAGAACTGAGACGACGCAGGAAGTAATCCAGAACTTCACACGTTGTCTGTTCATCTGCTGTCAGACCCAACAGGAGGTCCTGGAGACGCCCGAGCAGCTGCCTTTGTTTTTGTTGCCTCTGCAAGAAACCCGCAGAGCCCTAGTTAGCGCGAAACACTCTTCAGAGGCAAAAAGCAAATAAAAACTAAAAAGAAATACTTGTTTCTTCCTGGCCCTCTGCTCTTTGCTCTCTCCCTCTTCATCGTCCTCAGCAAGCAGGCTGTCGTCTGCAGCGTCATGCAGAAGAAATTCACACAGGCACTGCACTGGAAGCACATCCAAGGACCCCTCACTGGACTGAACCAAGTCCGCCAACCAAGGCATGGACTGAGAGGAAGCCTGTGGAAGAGGGAATGACTAAAGGATCCACACACACTCAAAACATTCTCTTCTTCTCTGAGCTTTAAACTTCAAGGGTTATAATTCTGTAAGAGTGTGAGCTTTAGCTTTAGCACATTAACCTAACCAACACGCCCAGCGGGATCACCACCTGTCTCTGGATGATGTTGAGAAGAAAGTCTGGGCTGCGGCTGCGACAGAGGAGGTGACCGAGACGCAGCGACTGGTTGAGGCTTTTAACCTGCTCCTGGACCTGAGGAGGAGGCCGACGCGGCGGACCCCTGAACAAAAACAGAACATGTGACTAGCGGGAACGCTCACTGATGTGCTGCTAGAGCTAGGCCGGGTTTCTGCGTGGCTCTCACTGCGGGTCCAGGCTGGTGAGCTGAGACAGCAGCAGGCTGTTGCTCTCTGTGATGGTCTGTTTGGTGGAGGCAGCAGCCAAGTGGCTCTCAAAAGCCAGGATCTCCTGTTTCTCCTTCTGGGAAATCTGAAGCTCCCTGTTGATCAACTCCGTCTTTGTGTCGTCGTCGGTGATGGTACACGGCGGATACGAGTAGTTACTGCGACGACAACACGAGTCTGTTAGACGTTCGTGTAAACAATGTTAACGTTTAAAACTTTGACTTACTTCGTCATAACCATCTCCATGAGCATTTTCAGGGTGGGATAGCCGTCCCAAGCAAACAAGCCTGAAGAAAAAAATAATCATATTATCATATTTGTGGCTTAAGTTTCCTTTAATATTGTTTAAAAATACTCGTTGTACCTATCTTCTGAGGATTAAAGGCAGCAACCACCAACAACAAAAGCCACGCCTTCCAGTAAAGAGTGGATATTGCCAAATTTGGTGGTAGGTACCTTAAAGATGGATTCATTGGTTAATTTTAGTGTGTTACGAGCCATCTGTGTTCTTAAGAGCCTGGTGACATACCCTGCTGGCAGCTGGATGTTCTCTGGGTGGTGGTATATACACAGATTCAGCACCGCGTCAATGAGCTGGATCCTCTCCACTTTCAGGACCTCTAGGTCTGTTTAACAGGAAACAAAACAAACCTCCTTCCATCATTTAATGAACTCACAAAGATAAAACATGGATAAAACGTTTAGGAAACGTCCAAACATAGTAAAATAAACATCTGTAGTCATAAACAGTCACAGCTGGAGAGGATCCTCCACACACACACCGTCGGACTGAACCGCGGCGGCTCGTTTGACCAGGTGATCTGCCAGCTCCATGGCGTCCGCTGGGCCGAGGGGCAGGTCACGTGACAGCCCGATGACCAGGATGCGCATCAGTGTGTCTTCAAGCAAAGGCACTTCAGAACAAAGACGGAGGAAGAAACTGGAAGGAGCCAAACAGAATTAGATCCATGAGGAGGGAGTGGGAGAAAAGAAAGCTAGAAGGATAAGAATTACTTTCTGTCGCTTTCAGGAGGCCAGTTGTCCCACTTGTAATACGTCTCCGGCTGCTCTGTGAAAAGCACTTTGTGCAGGCTGAAGACACAAAAGACATCAGAGAGCAGAACCACTGGGACAGCAATCAAACCCCACCCCCGCCGACACTCACCAGTGAACGTAGTCTTTTGCTGTGATTTTGCTGATTGTAGGAACCACAGTGTGCAGCCACCACACGGCGTCTCTCTGGATGGAAGCGATCTGATTCTGAAACGACCTCAGGACCTCCAGATCTACCGGACCACGCAGAAATACAATCATCAAACCCAAACAAGCATCTTAACGACATCACGAGAACAAACACGTACTCTTCTTCTCTCCTTTGTCCCATGCAATGCCAGCTTCTTTAACTAGAGCGGTGATGCCCAGCATCATGGAGACGGTGAGCAGATCCGTCACCTGGATCACAAAGCGCTCCTGCGTGAGACGAGACACTTGCGTGAATAACGTGAGGTAAACCACACCTGCCGTGTTTCTACGCCTGTGTTTACTTTGAACTCCATCTCCACGTAGCTGGACTCTTTCCTCTCCTGCATCAAACCAAAACAAAATGACTGGAAGTTGATCTCGTGTTTGGTTTGTTTGATGATCTCTCTCAGTAGAGCTCGGGAGGCGCGCAAGTAATCGTCCTTATTGGTCAGCAGATCCTGGAACACCATAGCCAAGAACTGCAGACGGAAGAGAAAAACATACTTTAGAGAGGAACGTTCCAAAGAAATGCTTCCAAACAGACTCCAGTGAGTGTTGTTGTTTTGACCTTTGGTGCTTGCTCGGGGTTGTGCTGCAGGACCGTGTGCAGAACCTGCATGTTGTTGGGATTCCTGGCATTAGACAGCTCATTAAAGATCACCAGCTTCACCATGGTGCCCAGGTTGTCTCTGTGTGCATTCAGCAGCTCCCTGCAGGGCAGCACCCACAAGCGTAAATAAACAATCCAATTCCACAGCGACACAAGAACTGGACTCCACACACCTGACACACAGCATGTAGTGGTTGAGGAGGACCTTGGGTTTGAGTCGGATCTTGATCAGGCTGGAGATCACCTCCATGTCCTCTGCCCCGTGGGTGTTGCAGTTCATGCACAGCGACATGAGGAGGTCTTGAGCCGGTCGGGTCAGCTGAACACAAACACACACAGTGTGTTTTAGAATTACTGCACACTAGTGACAGGTGATATAAACCATATATGGTGGAAGTGATAGAAACTCAGCAAACTGTAGAGATATTGACCCTGTCGACCATCCGCTATTGCACGTGTTGATGAACGCCATCAAGCTAGGCTACTGTGGCCAAAAGCACCAGCAGCTGCTGCTGCAGCGCAGTGTTGTGTGGTGGGGAGCGGGTGGAGGAGGAGAGCTTGTAAAGAGCAACGTCGGTTAGACGGACCTGGTTTGGGTTCAAGGAGTCGGATGTTGAGCAGAAAAACATTCTGTGTGAAAGACTCAGGGCGACAGTAAAGTCTTATTTATCTTAATTGAGCTTTAACGAAAATACCATTTAATGCCGTTAATTACAGGTTCTTGTACCTCCGCTGTGATTTAGTTTGCACAATATTCGCTCTGCAGTTTCAGGAAGCAGCTCCACTCTCTCCCTTGGCGCTGCCTGACTGAGTGCCGCTCAACAACGGGGGAGAGACGGGATAAACCTCCAACCTTACTTTACCGATGTTGACAAAAAACAAAAATACAGCGAAGCATTGTTTTACCTGCAGCTACTCACTCCTGGAGCAACACTTAAAGAGCAAGTCACTCCAAATCAACATTTTTTTGCCGATAAACTATATAAATGAGTGTCTGATCGTGCTGAAGACAAATGAATCGGCATTTTAGTTAAAATTTAAATATTCTGCCTAAAACTGTCAGCGATGCGCCGTCGTCAGGTAAAAACTCTGCACTGCATTTGAATAGAAATCTGCCATCGCTTTTGGCTAAGAGGTACACTATGATGTTAGATGGTACAATATGATGTCACAACGTCGTGAGTGTGTGTATTTGTTAGCGACTCCACCCTCTCGGTCTGCTAGGCAACAGCATTTGTTGCATTTTTCAAACAGGAAGTGGGAGTTGAGTAAGAATCTGGTACAGGTGACTTGCTCTTTAACTCCAGTGGGTGAATGAAAACATGAAAAATCAACCAGGAAGCAGGAGGAAACGTCATTTCATCTTTTGTACGTTCATTCTGTGTGTTTCACCCAACTGCTTTACCGTTCTTTTGTAACACAGCAAAAAGTGTTGTTTTCACCTTGAACATTACACCACAGAGCAAACACAATAACAGAGGAACGAGACTGTAAACAAGAGGACCAACATATACAAAACACTAGGGATGTAAGAAAATATCGATATGGCAATATATCGTGATATTTTTTCCAGCAATATTATATCAATATTCAAAAGCTGTGTATTGGAAATATCGATATGGCAATGTATCGTGATATTTTTCCCTGTGATTATTACATCGATATTCAAAAGCCGTGTATCTAATTCTTGAAAGAATTTACATGCAAACATTTGTGTATTTTCTTTTCGTTTTGTGCAATTCAATCGCCACCTGCTAGTTGGCAGCAGTGTGTAACAGGTTTTGTTTCCACCATTGAAATGTAAAACCCTCCATCATGGTTCAGATACCTCATGTTAAACATGTTACATATCAGTTTGGACTGTTAATTGAACATTCTTACAATAAATTCAGTAAAAAAATATTGCTTGTGATGTCTGACTGAATGTATCGCAATATATCATGATACATCGTATCGTCTCCCCTGTATCGTGATATGTATCGTATCGCCAGAATTTCAAAAATACACATCCCTGCAAAACACTTTAAAAACCTGCCGATACCCGACATGGGCAATAAACAAAGGGAAACAACAAACAACAACAAAATGAAAAGAATTAACTAAACAAAGAACCAGAAACCCAGAAAGACAAGAACCAAAACCAGTGATTAGCCTTTTATACATAAAAGGCACAACAGAAAACAGCAACAATAAGAAAACACAACAAAACTACACGTGACAGTCAGTAACAGACTGGAACACCCAAAGATATCAGCAGGACATAAGTGTGGAGTCGTACTAAATCCCATGCAGACTCAGCAGGAGGAGAAACTGGACGCCAACTCAGCACGAGAACAAAAGAACATAGAAAGGAGCGTGAGAAAGAAGCAAGTCAAAGACACACAAGAGCAGCGAAACAAGCAGCAGAAAGTACAAGAAAGAAATCAGCCGTCACAGAGGAAGGCAACAAGGGAAAACCATATATGGACTGGGACGGAACAACGATCATCAACACAGAAAAGCAAAAATACAAAAGATGAATAAAGGAAGCCATAGAAAGAAGAAGACGTCAACACAGAACCACGAACAGAGGAGATTGGGTCGTGATTGTGTCGTCGGTGAGGAGAGCGCGGGCAGCAGGGGGCAACGCCGTCATTGGCTGCCCGCTGATAAACGGAGAAGAAAGTGATGCCACCAACAGCGGCAAAGCCCTGAGGAAGACTACAGTGACGGGAATAAAGCGTAATGCAAACACCATTTCAATGTTTTTTTTACTCAAATCCAAACGAGTTTGTGTTTTCATCACATTTAGCACGTGTTCAGTTTAAAATCTCCTCGTCTTTATCCATGCTATGAGAATTCTTGTTGCATTGTTTGGAAAAATAATCGACGTAAAAATTCTCTGAAAGGTTTTTATAAACAGTTTTTTTTTTTTGCACATTAAATGTTCTTTAATGGAATTTGATGTTTGAGAAGTCTTTGTTCACCTGCTATGTCTCAGGTATGTGAGGACGCTCAGAAGCCACCGCTTTGACACGCATGAACAGCAGACAAAAATATAATACCCCTTCTGATTTCACACTCCCAAAGCAGGTAAGAAAATGTTTGGTAAAGTCAGCCGCTGCTCTGCATTAAGATCATAGCGTGTTCAACGGTTTTAACATTAAAGATGAAATCTGAGCTGAAGCCAGATTGCTAGCACTAATCATTTCTGCATGTTCTGGACAGAAAACTGGTTAATAATTAGATTTAATCACAAAGTGTTGCTTATTTTCATTTCCAAACAAAATACTTGGGTCCTAACTCACCTGCACCAATGGGTGTTTAGTTAGCTTTCACGTCTGGTTTCTGGGCCAAAGCCAGACACTCCAGTTGTGTCTCCGAACTTCTGACGAACGCTCTTGCACAGCTAAGATGTGACAATGAAAAGCATCCCCTCCACTAAACCCGACTCCTCACCTTTGGGTTCTGGAGCCACATCTCCAGCCTCTGCACAGCCAAGTAGCGTGCCTCTTTGTAGCCGCACGTGGCTGTGAGCAGACGCAGCAAATTGCGAGAGACGTTGTCCATCGGCTGCCTGCGGTTCAACTGATCCCTGAGGACGTCCAGCACGTAGTCCTCCACGCTCTCGGCTAGCTCCTCGTACCTGCAGCAAACAAGGAAAAACTATTTATTTCAAACATGTGAAAAAAGGAAAGTTAACTTTCAAAAAAATAAATGTTGTGAACACTCTACCTTGGCATAACCTGCCCTTCATCCTCGGGACTTAGCTTCTCTTCTGCTATTAACAACTCTGTCTGAGTGTCGTCTTCATCTGGGATGGAGGGATGAGGGCTGTTGCCTGAAAATCCGACACAAAAAACAAGCAATGGTCTAAAACTGAAGTACTTTAAACAAATCGCAGCAACTTCAGGTGAAGCTCCACCTGCGCTGAGATCTCCAGCAGTGCGACCGGTATCAGCCTGCAACAGCATACTCTTCGGTGGCATCTTGGTACTAAAAGCTGTCTGGATGTTGTCAACAAAATTCTTACAGTGACAGCTGTCGACCCAGATCCGCTCCCCCAGCGAGTCCTCGATGTACACCTAAAGAAGAACCATTTGTACCAAAACTCACTTAATCGACACATTGTGTTGCTCCAGCTAATTTCCTGAATGTTCTCACTTTCACAAAGATCTCAGGCCAGTTCTCATCCTCTTCATAGGCCGCCATGAGCAGATTGCACGCCAGGACCGACACCAGGCTGTTGCCTTTTGCCTTAAAGTTGATCGAAGCGTCGCGGCGCAGGAGGCTGCACAAGGCCTTTAGACGAGAGTGAGACATGTTGAGGATAAAAAGAACCGAGTTTAATTCCATCTGCAAAACTGAGTTCAGATGAGATTAGAATTTTTGTTTTCATTGTCGGGCGTCAGTAATAACTTTACAGCTTAAATTGTGACAACGAAATCAAATAAAACGTGTGTAATTCTACTACAGACGTCTCCACCGGACAGAAAGTCTCACCTCAATAATTCCTTCTGTTGCAAAAACATTTGGCTTGATTTTTGCCAGAAACATGAGGCTTAGGTACAGAGTGATGTCAGGCTTGGCTCTGTTCATTTTCAGCTGTTTCACGGCTCCACATAACAACCCCTCGATGTGATCATCATTTCCCTCCGACTCTGCAGCTTCAATTTCGTCCAGCAGAACTACCGGAGACACTGTAGCGAAAAGAACCATCTGTCAGAGTTACACAAAGGTCTGCAATAAAGGACGTCACTGCTAGGAGTGACAAACACAAAGCTGTTGTTTAACCTTCAATAGGTACAACTGATGGCTCCTTTATCGAGGGTGATATAGCCCTCTTGTCCACTGCTGCAACATCAGCCAGCCGTCCCAGAGCACTGACAGGAGGGGTGGTGGATAATTTGGATCGCTTGGTGAGGTTGGACAGACCCGATGAGGGTGGCAGGGTAGACGGGGGCTCTCTCTTACGGTCAGGAGGTAAACCTGTGGACGCTGGCTTCAGGAGGGCTGGAGGAGGTTTGGGTTCTGCAGCCGAGCTCTTTGAGCCCAGAGCGATAAAATCTCCTGGTGGAGGATGACCTGAGACAGACAGATGTCACGTTTACGCCGGGTTCAACGAAGGCACGGCTCATTGTTGCTTAACGGCTCAAACCTGAAGTTTTAGCAGTACTGGGGCGTCTCACAGTTGTCGGTTTAGCTCGATTCATCTTTACAGGCAGCTGCTGCAGGTCACACAGGAGTTAACATGCCTTGGTTTGGATGAGCCTAAAAACGTCACAAAAGCACTTTATTATACATAGCTGTGCCGTTTTAGACCCAGACTAGCAGAAAATAGATGTTGAGTCTAATTAGACAGCGCGTTGTACTTATAATTTATGTATTACATACAGAACAAATATAAAAGACGCACAAAACCTTGGCTAACACTGGCAAGCGTTAGCCACCGGAGCTAACTTTCCAGGAAGGAAAGGTTAAGCTTTAACAACAGACAGCGTAACGTAAACATCTTAAAGGTATGTACAATGTATCATACTCTCACAAAAGTATGAATTCAACGTAAAAATCTTACTCACAAATAAAAATAAAAACAAAACACGAAGGACTGTCGCTGTGGTTCTTATTCTGTTGTATGAAGTCGCCGCCGGTGGGAGCAGACTACCGCCATCAAGTGTCGGGGTGAGGTCATGTACATGAACAAAATATAAGGATCAACCAGGGAACAACCGATGGGAACAACTTATTTTCCCCCGTTATGCATCATTTATTGTTACTTTGTGTTGTGTACGTTTTTTTAAACAGTCTACCAGCTTTTTCAAAGATGTATCAGCTGATGTATTCCACCAGCTGAATATTTTACGTAGAAATTATTTAACGGCGGAAACTAAATAACATTCTGGGTCACCTGATGCTGATACCTGTCCTTATCCACAACGTCCAGCAGATGGCAGTGTAACCCCCACTCTCTTTCCACAGTCACAGCTCACACAAAGTAGAACAGACATTATTTTGTCTTGTTTTTGCTCCGAGAAAACCTACAGGAGCTCCTGATAAGTTGCTGAATGAGTTATATCTACTAAAATAACTTTCACCGTGTGTGCGCACGGTCCCGTTGCTACAGTTACGTCAATTGCAACATTATGTATCGAGTCGTAGTATGACTTCCGGTAGGTGTCTTCAAAATAAAACATTTGCGTAAATAGTGCTTATCTAGGTTAGCCACTAGAGAGCATTAACATTTAAATACACATAAGAAAACTTATATAATTTTCTTAAATTTAAAAAGCAAGTGCATATAGTAATTAAAGTTTTCACTTAATACAATTAATCAAATGTAGACACTTTTTATATAAAATGATATTTAAATATGGTTCATTGAAATGAAAAGCTTTCAAGAAAAGTAAAGTATCTCAGAATAAAGATGTCAACACTGCTGCAAAAATGGTCGTCTTGCAGCAGCTTCTGAATAACCTTTCTTTTACTTTGTAATCACAGTGAGTCATGACAGGGATGCACCAATATGAAAATTTTGGGCCGATATCCGATATTACCGTTGTTATGGCCGATGACCGATATTTTCCAATACCAAAATAGATTTACACGCTGACATGTATGCTTCTGAAATCATGAGAGTTTGTATAGACTGAAAATTATACAAGCTGAATTTTGGAATGTTTCACTTTATTTCTATAGAGTGCAGCAAACTATATGTGTGTGCGAGTTTATTTTACTGTATTCACACACCACACCGATTTTTGCTTCTGAGATGATTACCATCCCTGTCACATGACTAAACAATTACACATCAGCGCCCCCTCACCCTCTGAAACAAACACACAAAGAAAGACAAGATGGAAAAAATTATTAGTTGTTAATATCGGCACAGTTTTACTTTACTTTACTTACTTTGATATGTTAAAAAATGACCATTATTATACTGTGCATCCCTAATGACTAACTGTCATGGCACCATTTAAAGTTCAGTAGGTCAATGAAACAAATTGCCAGATGTGGTAAATGCTAATTTAAATAGTACACATGTACACAGAGAAATAAACAAGACATATTGTAATTAGATTGTTTTCTTTTTTGGTAAGTTCATCATGTAAAAGTTAAAGATTTTATCACGCTTATATATTGTCAAAATTCACAATCTATATTTCTAATTTTTATCTATCCATCCATCCATCCATCCATCCATCCATTTTCTGAACCCACTTGTCCATGTAGGGTAGCGAGGGGGCCGGTGCCTATCTCCAGCAGTCAATGGGCAATCAGGCGGGGTACACCCTGGACAAAGTCCATCTTGCTGCAAAATTACAAACTCGTCTTTTTAAAACTTACATCTCATCGAAGCTTCTAAGCCTTTTCTCTCTTCATATTTAGTCCCACCCTTGCTCTGTGGCAAAGAACTGGTCATTCCTTTGGCATTGCTCAACAATGAAGTTTAAAATTAGCCGTATTCTCTCCCTCCTGAATAATAAACAGTCTAATAATCCAGTTTCAGCTTGCTGCCACTCTTACTTTTATCTTCCCCATCAAAGGGATTCAGTTTGGTGAAACTTTAGGATAACCTGCTCCAGCTGTTGCTGTCACTGCTGACTCCACCGTGTTCCCTCTCCGCACAGCTCTGAGCTGCCAGCTGGTTACGTAAAGTCTTTTCATATGAAGCACATTTTGGTGAAGTCAGTGGAATGTCCAGTAAAAGTTCTAAATGAAATCCTGAGCCGCATGAGAAGACTGTGAATGTGCAAAAGCAATTGTTGATGTTTTAGGCTGACATACAGCTCACAGAGGGCTGGAGGCAGCCACCTGATCAAGCATCTGCAACGAGCTGAGCCAGAGAGAAAGGACTTGATTTAGAGTTGAGTCTTTTTACACTGAGGCTTATTTTTAATGCTCTTAGTTCAGTTTTGAAATTCTTGTGTCATCAATGTCAACCTGTTGCTAACCAATAACCGAGAGCACTTGGAAGAAAGACATGACCCCCTTACAACAAGGGGCCTCTTTGTACCAGATCAGGTTTCTGAGCTCAACCGTCTGACTCAGAAAGAAAAAAAGATTAGTGACTCAGTGTTACTTCCTGTAATCCAAAACTGCCCGTGATGAACACCGACCCCACAGCTAGAGGATCTAACAGAGACCCTGGCGAGGCTGGTGGCTTCATCTGCTGCTGCTGCTTTTGTTTTGGACTCAGTGGCTAAGATCATCTGTACACATTCAGAATATCAGCAATATTCCTGCATTAGAGCTCCGTCAGCATGATTCTGCAGGAACATGTGCGTCATTTAATCACTAATTTAATCTGACAAATTCTTTCCTGTTGTCAAATGTGTTCCTCTCAAGTCTGTAACTCATCTTTAGTACAAGGTAATTCCTTTCTGGATGATAAGATGTTTAGTTTCCAAGCAAAACACACATCATCCGTGTTCTAATAGTTTAAATCACTCTCATCTAATCCGTCGTTCGTCTCATGTTTGACTTAATCTCGCTTTCACTTAATCCTATTACGCCTAAATAGTATCTCATCCAATCTTATTGTTTGAAAATTTTAATTTCATTTCATTAATTAATTTTGCATCAATTTCTCATCCAATCAAATCTTAGGAGACATGTTCTGATTTGTTGTAAGTATTCATGTCTAATCACGTTTGTTAATCATCGGTTTAATCTGATATTTCTGCTTCAATCTCAACGTTCCCATTATTTATGACGATCTTATCCTTTTAAAATGACATTATGATTTTGTATAATGCAACACTTGAGCACAAAAAGTTAAGAGACGTTTGTAACCATTTTTCTGACCTCAGTCATGACTTAGAACCAGCTGATTCACTTCTAATCCAGCTCAGTCAGATTTTTATTCATCAGAAGATTTTTACTAAATGAGTGTGATTTTACTCTCTCAACATCAAAAGAAGCTAATGTCATTCTGTTATCTATATTTTAATCTGAGATTAAGCCTCAGATATCAGTGCTTGTATCTCGTCGTGAGGAAGTTAATGAAATAAAAGGTGGACTGGTTCGCTGAACGATGCAAGCGTCGTCGTTCACGGGAAACGATGTGTTGCTGCTTGTGGTCAGAGCGGTGGTGACACAAGCTCAGAGCACAAACCCGGTTATTCATCTGCTCTGTTTGCCTTTTGCTCAGAAACGTGCTGCAGTACGCACGGGACAATCAGACCCTTAGGAAAGCGCCCATTCCTCATGTGATTCAGAGGTACGCCATCATCTGCTGAGTCGTTTTCCACTGACAGTACCCTCAGATTAAACAATCTGCTAAAGAATTCAGAGTATAAAGAAGTAGGAGCTAATTCATTTCCCTGGAAGAAGTTTTTTCTTTATAGCACGAGGGCAAAGGGGCTCAAAGTCACTACAAAGCAGCATTTTTATTTCTTAATGTGCACCTAGGAAGCATTTTCTTTAATTACCTAAAATGAAAATCCAAAAGCATGCCAGAATTTGTATCTTAATCAACCACAACCATCTAAGTAGCACGTCACGGCTCTGTCATCATGCAAGAGCGTTTATTTGTGTGGGCTTCCTCTTTCGTCTCACTGCTTCTTTTTTTTTTTTTTTTTTTTTTTTTAATGGCCAAATATAGCAGCTTAAAAAAGAAGCATCACCGAGCAAAAGTGATTCAGTTGTCAAGCTGCTTTTGACCTAAAATGGTCAACGATGAAAAAAGACGACAGTGCACGTCTAGAGCGTTAAATAGTGAAAGCAGATTGTTCATGTTTAGAGGCTTGTTGACTCAACCAGACACTTTTGTTTGGGGATATTTGGTTTGTCAGCACAAATCACGTGAGATTAACGATGAAAAATCCTTTAACTGACAGGATTTGTTTCCATTCGCTGCCTTTCCTATAGTTTGTTTTAGTTTAGAAAATGACTGTAGCACCAGCTGCCTTCATTGGTTTTGGGATTAGAGTGTTTCTGTGATTGGGACCCTTTATTACCCGTTATTGGTCATTATTAGGACAAATGGCCAGGGTGGGTGTGTGTCTGCTTAGTAATGCATTACATCAGTGGTTCCCAATATGGGGTCCGGGACCCCCCACCCCCATCATGGAGGCTCCTCAAGAGCGCAGGGGGTCCCCACATTCTTGTCTGTGCTGAGGTTGTGAGGTTACCAAGATTCTATTTGGAAAACTTACATTTATAAAATCTCAATAACACACCTAATAGCATAATCAAAGCTCTGTATAAAAGTTACAACTATGTCTGAACAGAGTTTTTAATAATCACTTCTAATGTGTGTATGCAGGTAGGTGTTGTGGTTGGGGGTCCTGGCTTTACTTGGACACAGGCTCGGAAAAAAGGTTGGGAACCATTGCATTACATAATGTGGTTAAGCAGTTGTTAATACTGTATTTAATAGTTTATAAATGCTTAATAATATACTAAGTAACGTTAATAAAGGGACCCCTATTGTAATGTGTTATCTTGTGACTGACCACAATCATATAGCTGTTAACTCCATTCAGAACGAAGGGTGTGCTCTGTTTGAAAGATGGAATTTCTGAGTTCCCACCGGAGACAAAACTGGATTTCTGGCTCGGAAAACTGGAAATTCCTGATAAGCCCAAACCTAAAAACCAAATTTTGACACTGCACATGGTATTTTGTTAACAATTTAAAAGTAAAATTGCCTACTTGATATTTTCACATCTGTCACTGTGCATCTCAGTAATTCAGTCACACACACAGAACTGTCAAACATTTGGATGCTGATGCTAACAGTTTAGCCTGGTCACACGCGCACAAGACTCAACAAATACACACATCCAAGATCAGAGTTTCTACTTCAATTAGAGCATATTCACTGTTTGTCCAAACTGAGGTTATTCCAGCAGCTATCTGAGATGACTGTATTTACAAATCTTTATTGTAACAGCTTTTGTTTTTATTTCTATTCTTATTTTTCCTTTTATCTTGAGTGGATATGCATGCTGGTATTTACCTTGAACTGCTGCTATACCTGAATTTCTCCACTCTGGGACAACAAAGGAGTATTCTATTCTATTCTATTGTCCATATTGTTTTTTGGTACTTTACCTGTAATTCTGTTATTTTCTTCCTTTCTTTAAGTGTATGTGCTGCTGTAGCAAGAGAATACTCCCTCTGTGGATCAAAAAATTCTATTCTATTCTATTCTATTCTATTCTATTCTATTGTCCATATTGTTTTTGGTACTTTACCTGTAATTCTGTTATTATTTTCTTCCTTTATTTAAGTGCATGTGCTGCTGTAGCAAGAGAATACTCCCTCTGTGGATCAATAAATTCTATTCTATTCTATTCTATTGTCCATATTGTTTTTGGTACTTTACCTGTAATTCTGTTATTATTTTCTTCCTTTCTTTAAGTGCATGTGCTGCTGTAGCAAGAGAATACTCCCTCTGTGGATCAATAAATTCTATTCTATTCTATTCTATTCTATTCTATTCTATTCTATTCTATTCTATTGTCCATATTGTTTTTGTACTTTACCTGTAATTCTGTTATTTTCTTCCTTTCTTTAAGTGTATGTGCTGCTGTAGCAAGAGAATACTCCCTCTGTGGATCAAAAAATTCTATTCTATTCTATTGTCCATATTGTTTTTTGGTACTTTACCTGTAATTCTGTTATTATTTTCTTCCTTTCTTTAAGCGCATGTGCTGCTGTAGCAAGAGAATACTCCCTATGTGGATCAATAAATTCTATTCTATTCTATTCTATTCTATTCTATTGTCCATATTGTTTTTGGTACTTTACCTGTAATTCTTTTATTATTTTCTTCCTTTCTTTAAGTGCATGTGCTGCTGTAGCAAGAGAATACTCCCTCTGTGGATCAATAAATTCTATTCTATTCTATTCTATTCTATTATTTCCCCACAGAAGCTCACTTCCAAACTTCTGCTGAGCAGGTACCTCAGTAAAAGCTGCGGCCTTATATGGCTCAGCGTGCTTATAAATTCATTGTTTAATTACCCAGAATAACCTGTGACGTTACCGGCTGCAGTTAAAATAAGAGAAATCCTGTGACTGCTGGACTACTACTCTGCATACTTTCCTCAGGAATGGAATGCTGCAGCTGCTCCCAAAGTCAGACGGGAGGAGGAGGAGGGGGAGAGTCTGTTTTCCCTCTGTTAGTGCACATTTTTGAGTACTTTGTAGGCAGACCTGTCCGCGCACAGCAGGTGGGCATCGGAGGAGCAACAAGTAACCCTGGGGGATCTAGAGCTTCCTGTTTGCTGGCAGCTCACTAACTACTTTTGTAAAGTAAGCAAAAGCGGTCAGCATCAGTGTCTAACTTCTATTTCTGGCCTCCCCCCCTCTCAGACTGACGTCAGCACAAAGTTATTTTCATGAATGGAGGGGGCGGTCACGAGGAACTGATGACGCGGGCGCTTGCGGAAGCAGAGCGTGGAATGTTGGTACATTGTTGTTGTTTTGTAGTTTATTTAGTACGAGGATCCACCGCTGCGCCGTCCGGTACCGACGCTGTCCGGATTCATCACCGCCTGGAAGCGAGCCCCGCCGGTTTTACTCCCTCCGTCTACAAACATCCGCGTTCACAGAGGTGAGCTTGTTTTCCCACTTTTGCTCTTTTTTATGGAAGATGTTTTGACATTCCTCTCTAAATTGTTCAAGTGCTCGCGATGCCACAGCGGCACAGACGGGCTGCGTGGCTCGCGCTTGCCGCACACGTTTAATAACAAAAATATTTGTCTTTTCGTTATCTTTTAAAATATAGTTTCTGAAAGTTGACTTTGGGTTTGTGTGCGTTGGTCGCGAGGACACGTGTTGTTGGAGAAACAAAACACAATGTACGAAAAGACGGCGCGCGCCGAGTTGTCGCGAGTTTAAATGCATTTGTGCTGATTTAACATCAGAACTGTGGAATTTTCTGTTTGTAGTTTAATCCTTATAACGAGGAAATAAATAAAAACAGCGATTCCACTGAAAACCACTAATAACCAGTTTAACTACAACATATTCGTGATGCATTAGAGAAGATTTATTTGTTTATTTATTTAATAGGCTATTAGATTTACACCTTTGATAAGCTGTTGAAATAAAATGGAAGTGTAAACAGCAAGTATAAGTTCTGCTTTGTATGTTAAAATAATTAATTTAAAAGCACGCATTCGTTATCATGCAAAATCGCAGCTCTGCTTCTGACATGATTCAACACGTGGTCTGCATTTTATACATGTGGGACAAAGGGTAGACCACCAGGGATGACTGGTAACACAAACCAGCTACACAACACAAGGATCACATCTTTCCACAAACTCTAAATCTCTGCGGTGGAAGAAAGGGCTTCATCCCATCGCTCTGCTGAGCTATAAATCTTAGTGACTTGGGTTAAGATTAGGAAGCAGTGATCTGAAAGTGCAAAGACCTAATAGTACATGATTCTCGCTGCTCTTGCTTTATGCTTTTGCATAAAACTTGTAGTTAGTATTTTATTAATAAATGGAAGCTCTCTTCCACTGAGAGGTGCCACAGATTGGAGCTGGGTTGTCTGCTGTTTGACTCTGGTGTCTGGTGGGTGCACACAGGCACAGCGCCCTTCAGAGGAGCGGGTGTAGCTACTCCTCTGTCATAAGATGAACATGTGGTCCAGTCACTAAGGTTGTGATGTCTTTGGATGGAGAAGGGACAGCAGCTGACTCATTAGAACACAGAAGTGCACGGGGAGAAATCCCCTTCTCCACATGAAAACACACACACACACACATTGTTACACAGGATGTCACTTTTCTGGACTCTAGTGACGGATGAAAGCGGTGTGGGGAGCAAAACGTTTAGTGGTGAGATGTTGTGAAAGTGAAATAGCTGTGGTTGCTGATTCGATGAGTCACAGGAACATGTTCCCTGTGATGTGTTTTGTTCATTCTGGAGGGAAAAAAGTTGACTGTTGATTATTTACTTTGGAAACCTGGGACTTTTTTTCAAAAAGTATATTTTATTGAATTTTCAGTTTACTGTACACCTTTCACACAGTATTATGTTGTATACTGAAAGTACATTCTGTATAAAATCTTCATGGAACAACAGAACAATAGAACAATTTAACAATTTTGGTTGTGCTTCTGGCGATCCTCTCCAATGTAAGAGCATATATAGTATTGAAGGCAATATTCACATAGACATGTTTAACAAAACTTTGAGTAAGAAGTCCCCGAATTACACCTTGCTTTTGCTTCTCCCATTCCAGTCTTAATGCTGGTCAGAAGACCGATTATTTTCCTACTCTCCCACTTTATAAGTCCTCAGATTTTTATGTCCATCCTCTTAATATATGTTAGAAAAGGTGTCCATATTTCGTCAAATAAATGTTGCTTGGCCTTTAAGATATAGGTAATCTGTTCCAGCGGCATTGCCTATAACATCTGTTTCATCCAATCCTTCACTGTGGGTCTATGGAGCAATTTCCATGCCATAGCTAGAAACCTGGGATTTTAAACACAGGAATGCAGTGAGTGGAGTGTAAACAGGCAATAAGAGCTGATTATGTGGACAGATTTTGCATCAAAGAAAGGTCTTTTCCTGCTTATGTTGACGAGTCACCTGAACCTCAACATCTGCTTTTGCAGCATCACAGCCGCAGGTGGGGGAGGTGCCAGGTTCACACACGCACCTGTTAACAGGATTGTGTTACGGGGAGTTCCCTTGGTGCTGATGACAACTTGGAGACTCTAATTGAATGTGATTCGTAGGACAAACAAACACACCATGCTGTCTAAACATTCAGCTGTCACACCCGACCCTCAGGTGTGCCATGCGTTGGTTGTTTTGAAAGGGACACAGAGAAATATGAACCATAATTAAAGGTTATGGAAAATTGTGTCTTCCTCCAGAGATTGCTCTTGCTTTTCTGTCTTTAATTTCAGGATCAGACAACAAGGAATACAAAATGTAGTTTTTGAGTGATTTTAATTATTTTTTTTTCTGAGGAAAACAGTGGCTCTACTTGAAACAGTGTCTGCCTCCTAAAGCTATCAACCCTTTTAGATAACTGGTAACGAGTCTGTCACGTTGCTTCAGAAGGGTTTCCTTTCATGTTTGTTTTGACTCAGCCAATTTAGTTCAACCAATAAAAGCAAGTGGTCCTGTTCTTGAAGCAGCGCCAGACCATCAGACTGCCACCACCATGTTTGACTATTGGTATGATGCATCATGTCGGCATTTGTCTCATCAGTCTACAGAATAATTAGTCCTGGGAGTTATTGGGATGTTTTTTGGTCAAATTGAGACAGACAATTATGATAATTTTGGTCTTTTTGTGCCTGAGAATGCTCCCATAATGTAAAACCATAAGTGAGGCCTACTGTGGTTTAAATATTTGTTGTTGTTGAGCTAATGTGATGATTTTTTAAATATTTAAGCCTTTTTCACACTGTCCAACAGGTGCTTTTGATAAGATTTCTTAATTCTAGAGGTCTGGCAGCAATCAGGCGTCGCTGTTAAAATTGAATTAAGTTTTTCAGATAATCTAGTTAATCTGGTTAAGCTGTAACGGCAAATCTGCAAAACAAGCTATCTTAAAACGCTATAGCTGTAAAAATGTTTTGAAGATTAAAACAAAAATTGAAAAAAAAAAAGATGAAGTGATCCTCCCACATCACTTCAGCTAATAACACATCTAGGTCTGAAACCAATGATTGGACCATCTGGTTGTCTGTCTCATGAACCATTACACTTTTACCTGGGTTCTCCAGAAATTATACACTTGCATATTTTGCAGCAGAACACCACTGGTGTGAGAGAAGAAGAAGAAGAAGAAGAAGAAGAAGAAGAAGAAGAAGAAGAAGAAGAAGAAGAAGAAGAAGAAGAAGAAGAAGAAGAAGAAGAAGAAGAAGAAGAGGAAGAAGAAGAAGAAGAAGAAGAAGAAGAAGAAACAATATTTTCACGCCTCTCAAGATAAAAATCATGAGGTGCTTCACAAAATCAGAAAATTAAAAATTTAGAATTGAGAAAATTATTAAAAATATGTTTAAAATAAGCAAAAATAGACAATTGTGATAAAAAAAATTTAAAGAAAGAGAGAGAGTGAATAGGAAGGAGGGAAATCAGTGGATCCTGAGGAAGGTGGAATAGGCGGGCAGAGCAGAACAAGGAGAGGGTGAAGAAGATCGCACCAAACCAGCCTGATCAAGAAGTTTTCAGCTGCTTTTTAAAGGAGACCACTGAGTCCACTGATCTCAGGCTCAGGGGGAGAGAGTTCCAGAGTCAAGGGGGCCACAGCAGCAAATGATGACGTGGGTGTGTTTGGAGGACTTGGTCAGTAGGCGAGCACAGGCATTCTGAACCACCTGTAGACGGTTCAGGGAGGTTCTGCTCAGACACGTGAAAAGAGAGTTGCAGTAGTCTAAGCGTGAGGAGATGAAGGTGTGGAGAACTGGGGCTGCATGACTTAATTTTTTTAAAGTCGACTGTCAAGTAATGAAAATCGAGTCGACTTTGACTAGTCGTTGATGACATCATACACCTGAAGCGGGGGGGGGGGGGGGGGGGGGGGGTCGGTAGGTTCGCTGGAGTTTTTTTTTTTGACAATTAAAATTGCGCCCACATTTTCAAAGTTACACACATTTTTTTTAACAACGGTAGTTTCTGCTTCAGCCCTCTCCCCCCTCCCCCTGCGCAGTGGCCGCAAACTCACTGATGCGCCTGCAGCCTCTCAGAGTTCCTGCTGCTCTAAACATTAAAATAATTATTTCATTTTCTGTTCCTCACTTCTGATTACCTTCAATGGTGTCTGTTTGTTGCAACCAGGTACAAAAACTAACTTGTTTTTATTTGACTATTTTTCTGTCCTGCCTGTTTATTATCTTCCTGCATCTCCTCTCAATCCTAAAGAGAAACTGCTACCTGGGTTCATATATATTCACCTTATGAGTTACCTTTGAACTGCAGTTCTAAAAGATCTACCGACCGCAAAAACAGCGGAGTGCGCGCCGGCCGCACCGTTGAGGTGCGTCACCGGAGGACAAAACAGGTGATGCGCCCCGCTCCACAGCAGCGAAAAGCATCAGGCACAAATAAAAGACAGAAAACATTAAAGGAAATGAGCCGACATGAACGATTGCGTGTTAAATTAGTTTTTGAGGTGGCGACACCTGATTTGATAATGTTACTGTGGCCGTGCTCAGGATGCAGATGTCTGGAGCGCGTCAACAATCAGAGCTTTGCATGCGCAAGCTGGTTAAGGTTAGGATGGGGGTGAGGGGAAGGTTAAACTGTAATAGGGTAAAGGTCACAATTTGGTCAAATGTCCGTTTTACGGCGGGTGTCAGTACCGATGCTCTGGCACAGCGCGTCGCCTCTAGACGCGCAGGAGCTCGTCAACTGCTGTCTTTTCAGAGGACTGCATCTTGTGGGTCATTATCACGTGACAGCGACTTGTCGATGACAAGCATAAAACGTCACTACAGAGCAGTGAGGTCGACTAGTCGACTAGTTCATACAACCCCTAGTGGAGAACTGTCTCAAGTTCAGAGCGGGACAGAATGGGACTCAGCTTAGCAACGTTCCTGAGATGGAAGAGTGAACGAGAATTGACATGAGGGTTTC